GGCTGCTCTGCCCCAGAATGCCAGGTGTCCTCCAGTGCCCACCAGTGACTCCTGCCATTGGCAGTCACCATTTTGGATGTGAGCCTGTAACAGAAAACTTTGTAGCCATAAGGTCTGGCCTCGTTTCTGAAGGTTTTTATTTCTTCCTCTGCCACCACCGAGCCTGATGAAGAATCCTGGAGAACTTGAAAGCCTGCGTAATCTTTTGTGGCATGTTGGTTGGTCCCAATAAATTTGGTGTCTAATCGGATTTCCGCCCCTCTCTTCCACTAGATGACCTTGGCTGTTTGACTCATGAACCAGCACACGCCTGTCCTTAAAAAACAGTTCTGTTTTTTAAAGAACTGTTCATAGCGCAGCCCCTGCCACTTCTCTTTGGAAGGCAGCTCCCCTTCCTCTTATGAATAAGAGCCCTTTCATGTGGCTTTTTATGGATCCGTGACCTTGGATCCATTCTGACTTGCATTCTACAAATGCTTACAACCTAATCACTGCCCTGTTCCCTAGGCATGTTTACGTTCCTCAGGTTTTAAAAAAGAAAAATTGTCTTCCTTGGTCATCTCTATATATTCCCTTCCCTGCTTAATGTCTAACAAGACAATGTCAGATGAAACCCTTTACCAGCGAATTCCCTCTCTGAGCCAAGGGAGCCAGTTGCCACTGTGAAGCCCCCGCTCCTCATCCTTCTCCCCTAGTATTTAACGGGTGCATTAAATTACAATAAAATTCAAGTTTCAAAGAAATATGTCCCCCTTTATGTGAAGAGAAGCCTTAAAACTGCCTGCTTACCTCCCCGGCCCACCTCTAAAGGTGCTTCAGCGTGCACTGGTGACATTCTTGCAACAAGATTGATGAATCCACCTTTCTCTCACCTCCTCTGCCTCAAAGCCCACTTTCTAGAAGTTACAAAAGGTTTAAGGCCCAAACTGAATGTCAACCGCCCTCCCACAGAGCATGGTCTCATCCAGCCTTTGCAACCTGGCGCCCTCCACTAGAGTGTTTTGCACTCCAGTTCCCATCAGTCCCAGCCTGCATGGCCAGTGGGCAGCAATTCCGGGAGCTGTAGGCCAAAACACCAAGAGGACTCTAAGTGGGGTAAGGCTGGTCGCTGTGGCACTTAAGGGTGCTTCTTTGGGAAGAACAGACTGTCAAAGTGCCGTGGCTTGCCGCTGAAGGAGGCTCGGCAGACGCTCCCACGTTCCCCTGATTTTGCTTCGCAGGCGATGTCATGCGCGGAGAGTGCTCAGCGGACCAGTGCCTATGAGCTTATGACGAAACAGCCCTGCAGCTTCTCCACAGCTGGGTGTCCCGCAGATGGGTTGGGCTGCAGCACCCTGTCGTCATGTGGCCTGTGGGTGGCTGCAGTCCAGCCCACCGAGGACAGCAGCTTAGAGAAGCCCGCCTCGGCTTAGTGGGGGGTTCCCGGGGAAGGCCGCTCTTTGTCCTGCACGGCCCTCTGGCGCCTCCACAGTGGCGTGCTGCAGAACTCTTGAGCCACAACACCATGCAGTGGGGTGGGCCAGTGTGCTGTCTCAGCTAGAGTGGCAGCCTGGGCGGAGCCGGCTGGTGCCGGAGGTCAGACTAGATGGCCCGGGCGACCCCTTCTGACTCACTCTGTTTCCTGTTTCTATGTTTCCTGGGGCTAGCGGGCCCCTGGGTGGCTGCTCTCGGCTATTCTCGAGCTGCATGGCGGTGCCAGGCCTGGGCAAGGTAGCAAGGCCTGCTGCGTGTGAACTCAATGGCCCACTCACAGCTTTGACAGTCTCGGGCAAGCATTTGAGGCCCCTGCAGGTGGCTGCCAATCTGCAGGCCTGGCTTTGGTTTGGCTTACAGAGGAAGCATCTCCCAGGCTGTCTGTGCTCTCCATAGCACCTTTGAACAGCTCCTGCAGAAAAGTGGAAGCAGCTGCTCCTGGTGTCATGCATAGCAGCGCCTGCAGCTTGGTTTCCGCTTTGCAGAGTCAGCCGAAAAGAGGGAAGCCAAGAGGCAGCAGCCCAGTCAACAGAATTTCCCCTCTGGGATGCTGCTTTAGCCGCGCGGCCAGGCAGGGAGCGGTGCAGCGTGGGCTTGGCCAGGGTGGCAAGAGTCGGCCTCAGTATTGCCCAAAAGGACGTTCTGTTTGCTGTCGTTGTGAATAATGGGGGACTTGGGCCAAAGCAAGGGAGACTGGAGACGCCATGATGCCGGCCTTGGAAAGGCAGAGTCACTGGGCTGCCTCCTGCCTGTTTCTGGATCAACCCCCCCCCCCCCGGCCTCTTCCAGTTTTGGGGTGCTGTGAATCTTTGGTGTGACTTGCAGAATAGTGAAACTTTTCTTGGATTCCTTTCCAGCAGGCAGAGGCCAAAATGAGTGTTCAGACTGGAAACGTATAAATGCATCCCTGTGTTTAAAATAATAAAGGGATGTGAGAAGACCAGGAAGGCTTGAAGATTTATGCCCCACATTTTAATCAAATTATTCTCAAGACAGCGCAACATAAATCACAGCAATACAAAAACTCCCATGTGGGCACTCGCACAACCCAGCAGCCCTTGTTTCCCTGGCCAGCCGCAGAGGCCCAGGTGCTGCTTCCCTCCAGGTTGGCAGCTTGAAGGCAATGGCAGACAGGTAATCCCAGCAGCTTGGCTTCTGCTTTCATATGCAAAGTTATGCAGATTTAATCAAATAGTCTGACTTTGTGAGAAGCTGCTCACACTTGCTGCAGCAAGCATGGGGATAACTGAGCTGTTCTTTCCTTGGTGCAAGAGAAAAAAAGCATGTGCTAGGAGGGGAGATAGAAAGCAGAACTCTTCCAAAAGGGAGCCTGTGGTCCACAGAGCTGCTTAAAAGTTTGTGTCATGATGTTTAAAACTGGCCCAAATATTTTAATGGATTGAAATGTTTTGAATGGAACTGATGTGTCATTGTCATATTAATATAACAAGGTCAATGAACTGTGTTGGAACTGAAATAATATACAATATAGCTTTTAATTTTTCAGATTTATAAGATGTGTCTTTCACCCTTTTTAAAGCTGCCCTGTACACTAAGTGGACATTCTTGGATGTGATTCTTTTAAATGTTGTTGCTGTTAGTCACGAAGTCATGTCTGACCCATTGCGACCCCATAGACAACAATCCTCCAGGCCTTCCTGTCCTCCACCATCTCCCGGAGTCCACTTAAGCTCACGCTGAGCCAACTGCTTCTGTGACTCCAGCCACTTCATCCTCTGCCGTCCCCTTCTTCTTTTGCCATCTGTTGTTCCTAGCATCTGGGTCTTCTCCAGGGAGTCCTTCCTTCTCATTTGGTGGCCAAAGTATTTGAGTTCCATCTTCAGGATCTGGCCTTCTAAAGAGCAGTCAGGGTTGATCTCCTCTAGGACTGACCGGTTGGATCGCCTTGTGGTCCAAGGGACTCGCAGGAGTCTCCGCCAGCACCACAATTCAAAGGCCTCAATTCTTCGGCGCTCAGCCTTCCTTATGGCTCAGCCTTTCACAGCCATACGTTGCAACCAGGAAAACCATAGCCTTGACTATACGCTCTTTTGTCGGCAGGGTGATGTCTCTGCTTTTTAGTATGCTGTCTAGATTGGCTATAGCTTTCCTCCCAAGGAGCAAGCGTCTTTTAATTTCTTGGCTGCAGTCCCCATCTGCAGTGATCTTGGAGCCCAGGAAAATACAATCTGTCACTACCTTCATTTCTTCCCCATCTATTTGCCAGGAAGTGAGAGGACCGGATGCCATGATCTTAGTTTTCTTAATGTTAAGTTTCAAGCCAACTTTTGTGCTCTCCTCCTTCACCCGCATCAAGAGGCTCTTTAGTTCCTCTTCACTTTCTGCCATGAGAGTGGTATCATCTGCATATCTGAGGTTGTTAATATTTCTCCTGGCAATTTTAATTCCAACTGGTGATTCATCTAGCCCTGCCTTTCTCATGATGTGCTCTGCATATAAGTTAAATAGGCAGGGAGACAGTATACAGCCTTGCCGAACTCCTTTCTCAATTTTGAACCAATCAGTGGTTCAGTGATTCTTTTAAATACAACTTTATAAAAACTGAATGTTGGAGGCATCACTAAAGTTATGTATCATTATTAGGACTAATCTATCAAATTGAAAAGAGTCACTTCAGAATAAGTGGGGAAATGACCATGATATTATAACATGCTAGGCAGTATTAGAAAACACTGTTGTGGTTAACTTCTAAAGTCCTCAGTTACCTAGAGCCAGGTTACTAACCTGAATCGTAATCATCTTCAGAGACTTCCCTGGGTGCCTCCACAAATCAGGTGAGAAGAGGGCAGCCTGGTTGTGAAATGGTGCCCAGAATAGACCGTTTTTATTCTTCCAGGTCTTTCTGGGGAAAAAGCTCTAACTCCACAAAACAGTAGATCTGAGGGGTTACCTGTTCATGGAACAAGTCATGAGTAGTGACTGTCGCTGGTCAGAAAACAGTGAATTCCCAGGAGGCGACCTGGAGAGACTAACGGAACAGTGACATGCGCAGGGACTGAAATGCCAGGTGGAGGGGAGAGCGCCGGGCCCCAAAATGCACCAGCCTTGAGCCTGAGTTAGGGGTGCTCAAGGGCAGCACTTTGCTTTGCAGCACACAAACCGCCGAGTGAGAAAAGACGCGGAGAAATAGCGTAAGGATAGGAAGTGCCTCCAGCATGTAGCCCATTGCAGTCCCCAGTCTAAGTACTAAGGTGCCGTCTCTTTTGTTGGTTCTGCTCGGTCGTATTCTGATGCTGATTTAAAATAGTGTCCGTTTTAGGTTCACATTGTGTTTTCATTTTGATTGATTTTTTGTGATTTCAGCTACACAACAACATTTGCCACGGTATTGCAGTAGCTTACTCAAGTAGCCTCAGAAATAGAGGTCCCTGGATAACCTCTTCTGCTAGCCTTAAAGCAACACTTGCTGTGGCAGTTTTGCTCTCTGAGTGCTGAATCAGCAAAGGTGTCGCTAAAGCAAGTTTGCTCCTTGCCTGTCTAAAGGTGCCCCCTCTTTATTTTCCCAGTCGTTCTCATTGGAGATTCTGGAGTTGGCAAAAGCAACCTTCTCTCCCGCTTCACTCGCAACGAGTTCAACCTGGAGAGCAAAAGCACCATCGGTGTGGAGTTTGCAACACGGAGCATTCAAGTGGATGGCAAGACAATAAAGGCGCAGATATGGGACACAGCTGGGCAGGAGCGGTATCGGGCCATCACCTCGGCGTGAGTGCTCCGTCACGAGAGCCGGTGGGGGGCCTGCAAGGGCAGTGCCTGCCTTGCGTGGCCAGGTCTCGGCCGGTGTCCGTCCTTGGCCAGGCTCAGGGAAGGTCTGGATGGCTGCTTGTCAAACTGCAGGTGGCCACGGAGCTTAGAGGGAAGGAAGGAAAGGGTCAAGGTTCCTGGCAGGCTGGAGAGCTAGAAGATTCAACACAGGCGTGTAAAGGCTTGCGCCCAAGCACAGGACGTTCAAGGCACATGCATAGGATGGGGGATCCCCGTCTTGGCAGTGGTCCATGCGGAAAGGAGCTCAGCTGCCTCAGTGGTTCACAAGCGAAACGTGAGCCAGCAACACTGTGGCAGCTGAAGAAGCGCATGCGATCGTGGACTGTGTCAGCGGAAGCGGCATGTCCGGATTGCAGAAAGTAACAGCTTCGCTCTGTTCCATATTAGTCAGGCGGCATTTGGAGAATGCTGTCTGGTTCAGGGCATCCCATTTTTAGAAGGCCATTGATAATATGGGGGGTATCTAGAGTAGAGAGCCAGGAATGGGGAGGATTGGGACACCAAATCCTGAAATGCTGAACTGTTACTTTGAGAGGATTTTGACACTTGTCTCCCAGCAAAGAGGTATTTAGTGGGCAGAACTCGTTGGCTTTATCCGAGAGTGTAAGCAGCCCTGAGTCCTGGATGTTGTAGCCAAGGAATGACATAACCCTGACATGAGCTGAGCTACCAGGGAGCTAGTTCGTGAACTGACCTGCAGATTTCTGGCAGCCAGGGCAATCCCCCGTCAGTTGTAACACGTGCAGCCGTGCCGGAGCAGGCGGAGCTGCCTTGGGGTCAAGCCGTTGAATGGAGCGCCGTTCACCCTGCTGGTCCCAGGCTGTTCTGTTCATGCCCAGAACAACGCAGGGCCTGGCTGGCCAAGGGGCCTCAGTCTCCTTGAGACCTGCCTGCATGCTCAGAGGCACTGCCCTCTGGAAGGCACCATCGCCCCAGAGGCCTGTGTGGGGCCCCTGCTGGAGGGCCAGGCATCTTCCGTGCTTCCCCAAAAGACAGCCCGCGCTCCCTTGTGAATTAAAATCAGCCCCACCTCTTGACCCTCAGAAAGGTTGCTGAGAGGCAGCTTTTTCTCAACGGAGCCTTTTGAAATGGGCAGCTTTAACATTTTTCCTGTTGTTGTTCTTGCAGAGTGCTGTTCTTTTGAATGGTTGCACACCACCTTGGTGGCTCTTGAAAAGGGAGGCGGGATGTAAATGCACTGAGCAATGCACTGAAAAATTAAGAGGGGGGGGGCAGCAGTGGCCCTGCAGCAAGGCACGCGCCGCCCCCTCCCTGCCTGTGCCCCTTGTCCTCTTGCCCGCTCACTCAGTCAGCCTCCTTGTGCCTGCAGCTATTACCGTGGAGCGGTGGGTGCCTTGCTTGTTTACGACATCGCCAAGCACCTCACCTACGAAAACGTGGAGCGGTGGCTGAAGGAGCTGCGGGACCACGCCGACAGCAACATTGTCATCATGCTGGTGGGCAATAAGAGCGACCTGCGCCACTTGCGCGCTGTCCCGACGGACGAGGCCCGGGCCTTTGCAGGTCAGTGGTCAGGTGGTGTGTGCCGCCAGCTGAGCTCTGGGCGGACTCTGCTGTTGAGCCGTATGATCTCTTTGCCTCATGGGTGTTTATGCTGCACAACAGAGTAAAACCTTACAGAGCAGCCAGCCAAAAATATGAGAAGAACTAACAGTGCGTACAAAACAATATAAAACCGTCACAGCAGAGATGAAAGCAAAAAGCGGCTTTCTGTACTGAACGCTTGGCCAAGTCTGTTGGGCTTGGCATCAGCAGAGTCTACCTGGCCAGGTGGGGAGCATCACCGAGGCAGGGTGCCGCAGCCCTGTTGTGGGCCACGCTCCGTCTTGCTTCAGTAGCTCACAGAATGGCTCTGGGAGAAGATGTGGAGGGAGGAGTGGGAGAAGGCCCCCTTGAAGATTGTCTGGTCCCAGGAACCTCACCAGGTCGAACCAGCATCTCCAGTGGGCCCTGGAAACGCTTGGCAAGTGCTGCTGCCTCCTGGGAAACCCGAGCTGGAACCTGCCAGCAGTGCGTGCGTGCAGCCTCAGCAGTAATGGCCCTTCCTTAATTTATGGGGCACGTGTGCTCACTCCCCCCCCCCCCCGAAAGTCAGGAGCAATTAAAATGTGGACCCATCTGCTGTGACCTCAAGTAATTGGCCTGCTCATAAATCTAAAAGGCTTTCAGACCAAGTTGATTTCACCCTGGAATGAGGCTCTGGGTTTTGTTCCCCCCCACACACTAATCATGATTAAAATCGCCTGATTTATGCCCTTTGAAGTCAAGAGGAGACTTCTGGCTGCTGCTGGGGGTGGAGAGGGAAGTGGCGGGAGCGGGGGCAACTGGTTTCCATGGCTTCAGTCCCAGGCCGCCCCCCCCCCCCGGTGCACATCCATTAAAACCTTGCATGAAAAGTGCAATTTTCTGATGGTTGCAAGGCGTCCTCCTCTTCAGTCATGTGACACTTGAGTAATCACTCAAGGAAGGGAGAGCGAGAGGATTTGCAGCAGAAAATCTTGAAAAGAAGCCAGTGCTATTCTTGCCCTCTCTTTTCCCCTGAAAGAGTATTTCAATCCACCTTATCTGTGCAATGGCGGAGGCCTGTTCACACAAGGGGGTCCATGTGCGTCCCACTCCTCCCCGTGAGCTCCCAGAGGAGGCCGGCCCTGCTGCCCGCGATTCCGCACCCCCAGGGAGAGGGGCGCCGGCTGCTGTCGGTGCGGCTGTCCAGAGGCGTGCCGGCCGGGTCCTGTGGCGTGCCAGGCTCTTCACAGGCTGGTGGCGCTGTAAATAATCCACAGAGGCAGTGGGCTGGCAGGAGGCTTGTGGCGGGCGGCCGTCTCCTCGGACCGGAAGGCCTGCGCGGAGGCTCTGCCTGACGCTTGCGGGAGGGGCTCCCGGCAACCCAGCGGGCAGCGGGGCGCACGTGGCATTGGGGCGCAGGTCCTTCTGGCCACGGTGGCGAAGGCTGCGGTGCGGCGTGGGAGGAAGGGGAGCCGCCCCCTCTCTCGTGGGCCAGGTGGTTGGGTGTGTGAGCTCCCGGCAGGCCCCTCCCCAGTGAGCGGCTTTTCTTCTTTCCCGCAGAGAAGAACGGCCTGTCCTTTATCGAGACTTCGGCTCTGGACTCCACGAACGTGGAAGCTGCTTTCCAGACCATCCTGACAGGTACGCTGGTCTCCTCGGGGGGGGGGGGGGGGGCTGGCGCGAACTGGGGCTCTGTCTGGAGCAGGCGACCTCTTGGTCCAAGGGGCGGGAGTTGAGCCGGCTCCTCCGACCCCACTTCCAACCTCTTCCGATAACAGGTCCGCTGCTGGGAGGGGCAGGGGCAAGGGACCCTCCGGTGTTCAGTCCAGCAGGGCAGGGAAAAGTCGGCCCCACTGAGTATTGCTGGCCCTGGGGAATTGTTTGTACAGAGGAGAATTTGTTTGGGGTACGGAAGAGAATATTGGGGTATCTTCAGGTGTGGTTGCCAAATGTCAGCCCCCCACATTTGGACACTAATTTTGGATTTAAGCCAGGAGCACCATTTTGAGCAGAAGGGCATGCAGATTTGTGAGTGAATGAATGGAACCAGCACATGTAGAGTAGAGGGCACTGCACAGGAGTCCCCCAGGCCAACTGCCTGGAAGACTCACCCTGGTTTCCTTTTGAGACCCCCCCCCCCCCCCCGATTTCAAAGACAACTGTTTCAGGGCTTGTCTCTTGAGCCAGTTTCGCCTTGCAGGGAGCAGGCCACAGAATTTGGTTGCAGTCCCTTTGGCTGCGTCAGCCTGCTGACGGAGGACGCTCAGAGGACAGGGACAGCTTTCCCATCATGCTGTGCTGTGCTTTAAACCCGTGTCAGTCAGCACTGTCTTCATGAGCCTGGCAGCTGACTGACTTCCTGAGCCCCTCCTGGAGGTGCCCTTCTGCTGACACAGCCTTCGCTCTCCTCTTGAGCTGTGGCCATCAGGAGTTCCCTGCTTCTCCCACGATTGGAGGCATCAAAATAAATTATGGAAATACGCCCCTGCAGGTTGGCATCATGCAGGCCGTTTCTGGAACCCAGCTTCACTGCCTGTGACATTGGGCAAGCAGGATTCTTGTCCCAGACTTGCTTTTCTGTTTGGAGAGGATCCAGCAGCCTGGCCTTTGAGCCCAGGCCACTGTCATGCTTGTCCTCCTGGAGCCCTAACGGCCAGGGATGAGCAGGGGCTGCCCATCTTTGTCCCCAGCAGCACCTCCCACCCACTCTGTGTGCTGCAGCCCCCCAGGGCTGTTGGCAGGAAACAGCCTCTGCATCCATGTGTGTGGCTCCAACGCTCTTAATGTGCCTGTGGGGAAGTGAGGCCTTTTTCCAGCCACTGATTCCCAGAAGTCCGGTGGGGATGTGGCACAGGGGGCGGGGGATGAATTAGGGTGCTGACTTTTGTGCCTCATTTTGGGGAGAGGAACCCTGGTAGCAAGACAGCACTTCCTGCTTCCTCCACCCCCCAGAAAACAACAAACACTGGTAATACACAGTTTATTTAACAAATACAAACTCAGAGGCACCCCAGCTGTAGTGACCGATAAGACATGCTGGAAGGAAGAGATGGCGAACATTTCGCAGAACACCTGGGAGATGTTTGTCAATTCCTGAACAGCACTGGGCCCAGAGGCGCTGTTAGTCTCCCTGAGCCTGAAGGGCTTGCGTGGGCCGGCCTTTGGTTTTCAGCATCACTTCCGTCTCCCCAGCCGGTGATCATCGTTTTCCAGCCACCTGCAATGAGCAGACATCTCTGACTGTGCCTGGAAGCACCACCGCGTTCACCACTCAGGGACGCGCATGAGCTGTGTGGCCCCTTGCTGCAGCCCCCCCCCCTCGCCCCCTGCGGGAGATGGCGGGAAGCCAGAGGGTGGCCTGCTCAGTTACTTTGCTTGAATCTGTTTCTAAAGCTATTTACCCAGGCGGCTGTACTTGGTCTCCCGGGGTCTTTGCAATGCGAACCCGCCACCCCTCCCTGCCCCAGTGAATGAGTTGGGCCAATGCCCCCCTGCTCAGCAGTGGGCTAGATGATTCCAGTATACTTTTCCCACAGGCCCTCCGTGCGCCTCGTATGAGCAGCATACGATTGCAGGTGGGCTGGGGAGAAAGCGGAGGGCTGCTGATGGGGCAGACTTTCCCAGCTGCCCTAATGCTCGATTCCCACAACTCCTGTTGAAAAGAAAGTCTGGAATCCACCGTTCTTTTCCTCCTGTGCAGAGATTTACCGCATTGTATCTCAGAAGCAGATGTCAGACAGACGTGAGAACGACATGTCTCCAAGCAACAACGTGGTCCCTATCCATGTCCCCCCGACCACAGAAAACAAACCAAAGATGCAGTGCTGTCAAAATATATAACAAGCTCCGTTCCTCGAAAGCTGTGTATATTCTCCCCACGTCCAAGATGGAAATAGACCTTAAGCTCGCGTTGTCCTTTCTTTGGTTCTTTCTCCACCTGCCCTTCCTGCTTCATTAGGGCCATTTTCTTTTCCCGTCTTGATTTCTCCATAGTGTAACTCTTTCCCCCTTCCCTTTAATTTCAGCATTGCGAATCATCCATAGTTTGCATGTGGCTGCAGCATTAAAAGAATTCTAAGTCCTGGCAGGGCAAAATTTAAAAATCATGGCTGGTTTCCTTTCCAAGCATGCTGCCTCCTTCAACAGAACTAGATTATTGCAGCCGCCTTTGCAATTTGGGTCCTCCTGGCAGCGTCATGTAATTGGCCAGCGCCTTTTAAACTTCCTTTTCACCTTAATATTAGATGCGGGATGTCTGCTTCCCCAACCCAGTGTCCTCCAGGTGTGTTGGGCTGCAAGTCCCGTAAACTCGTGTGGGATTTGTCGTCCACACATCTGGTGGACCGTAGCTAGGAAAGGATGTAATAATCTCCTGGAATCCAGTCCCTTGCCGCATCCCAGCCTTAGAATGCACATGGCTTCTAGGAGCGACAGTTATTTCTGGCTGAGAACAGCACTCTCGCTTCAGTAGGCAAAGTTTCCCAGTTCCGATCGATGGAGCCGTTCTGCGCAGCTCGGCCTAAGGGAGTGCGAGTGGCAAGGAGCATTCCTTGAAGAGCCAAAGAACCTGCCTCCCCCCTGCAGCGCCCCCCCCCCCCACCGTTGCCAGCCCGGTGCTTCCCGCAGGTGGGTCCCGACAGCAGCGTGGCCTCCACTGTGGGCGAGGCGTATGGGGCGCAGCAGTCCCTCCGCACCCTCGTGGAAGCAGGTGAGAGACGGGTCTCCTTGCATGTCGAGGCTGGCCTCATGTGGACGCAGTCACGGCCGTGCAGTTGCGCTGCGGCCCAGACAGCTGGAGAGTGGGGCCTCGCGTGGCCCAGGCAGAGGCGCGAGAGCTCCGTAACCCCGCTTGCTCGTCTCACGCGCAGTGCTTTGCGTAAGTCAGGATGGGCCCCTGTTCTTTTGGCACGCGCTTGCTCTTGTTCTTGAAAAGGCATGGAGAACGCTTCGCAACTGGAGGAGCTGCCGCCGCCGCTCACTGCAGTTATTTTCACAGGAATGCTCCCCCCCGCCCCCCCGGCCTTGTTCTGCTTCAGCCTGCTGCACCAGCCACCCACAGCGGGGTGGTGAGCTGAGCCACGGCGCTGGCAAGGAGCCCTTTATGTCACTGGTTACTGGCCAGGGAGGACCTGGAACTCCTCCACCCGTTCGAGGGAGAGAGGCCCAGTCCAAGCGTACGAGCACGGCTGGGAGAGATCTTTATATGCAGTGGGACATTGGTGGATTTCGAGCGCAGATCTGTGTGTTCATCCTTGAAAGTGCCATCCAAGTGGGGCCTTGTGCATGGAGAGAGGATTCCGCAGGATATGGAAAGCCACGCTGAAACCAGAAGGAAGCTGCCCCCGGGGCGCAACTGCTAGGGAGAGAAGAGAGGAAGGGAGCTTATCACAACAAAGCCGCAGACCCAGATGGTGTCCTTTCCTTCCTGCCGCCCCCACGAGGGCACCCACAAAGCGCTGAATCTCTCAGCCTGTTGGTCTTGCGGTGCTCATGACGTGTCGGACACACGGAAGGCATTGCTGTAGTCCCTTCATCCTTTGTTTCCCACTCTTGAATGCTTATCTGTTTCACAAACATTTTTTCTGATCTTTTTGTAAATTGCTTTGTACTGTATGCACATTCTCTATCTTGAATATTTTTTAAGATTGATTTAAAATTATTCATTATTGGAATTCTAATAAAGAATTGCAGGGGACTGCTCGGATGTTGTTGAGTGAACTTCTTTGGAGTTGTGCTGTCGCACGCATTTGGTATTTAAAGTATAATAATGCACTTAAGACATATGAAGATGATTAAACGTTATATGCAGTAGTTATTGCTCAGAATAAATTATGCAAATCTACTTGACAGACAATTCTGAATCATTTACTGTTGCAATTTACTCACTTTATTGTGAACTGGTGTATTTACAGAACTTGGAATGCAGTATGTTTTGCTTGTAAAGAACAGAGTGAGGAAAGAAAGCAGAGAAATGCCCCTTTTGACCAGTGCTGGGAGTTTTTTTGACAAACTAACGGGAGCCAAGAGCATGGGAGAGCTGGGCTGGCAGGCCTCCGCATGAGCCAGTGCATCCTGCAGCATCTCTCCAGGAAGGCCCAGGTGAGCGGGTGTTTGAGATGGCAGAGCCCCCACGTGGCTTTTGCGTCATGCTGGAATGCTAGGACTTTTTTTCCTCCCTTGCTGTGCCTGGAATGGTACACTTCGTTCCTCTGGCTCGGTAGGTCAGAGGGTGGTGGAGGAAAGTTTACCATCGTTTCAAGGCTCTATGGAAGGATTCTATGACACACAGACACAGCTGAGAGAAATTCAGTTTATTTTTTACAAGACCATCTTTGTGCAGTCCACAAATATTACAAATTTGTCTTGCTTTAAAAAAGTATTGCCATAATAGTGTCTAGAGTCCTTTTTAAAGGAGTGATATAATAGGCGACTGGATCATCTTTTTGCTGCCTCCTGCTGGATATAATCTTTTCCCCACAGTTACTTTGACGGTCCAGCTTCCCAAAAGCTGAAAAATGCTCGGCTGCCCTGCTGCAGTCTCACTGAATAATGCGCTGTCTGCACTTTGGGGCTTTGCAGCTCTCTGTGTTGCTGCTAGAGGAAGAATCCTGCGTTACCTGAAAGCTTGCATACGCTTGCTGATGGGGAAGGACTGGGGGGCATTCTGCATTTTCCATGTGTCCCTCCGTCGTGCGCTCCCTAGCATGGCAGTGGCAGTCTAGGCACCTGCTCCTGTATTGCTCCAGCCCAGAATGGGACCCAGATGTGGGACAATGCTCGCCTTAGGTCAGCTTTGCACTCTGTTTCATCTGTGTTAAATACACTAACTTCCAAGTGAGATGCAAACAGGAAGTTACCCTGTCTGAATGAAAGCCTTCATGGAGGACTTTTCCCATCGCTGAATCTGAGGTAAGACTTTATTTTCCTATACAAGTAATTAAAATATATATCCCTACCAGCCCTACAAAAGAAGGTTCTGCTACTCTTTATATTTTGGATAAGGCTTTCCTGGAAAGTAAAGCGGCTATTGCTGATAGATCATGTCCCTCATGCACACATGCAGCATTCGTGTAAATAATTACATTTCTTCCTGTGCTGTGGAAAAATTACGTGGTTCTCTTTCAATCTTGCAGGGGAGCACCCTTGTTCCCTGTGATGGGCAGTGCAGAATCCCTCCTTACGCACACTGCCCCGTAAAGAGAGCGTCTGGCTGGTCTTGCTTCTAGAGGGCAACTTTCTCCTTCTCTGCTTCACTCCATTTCCAAGCATTGGAAGTGAATGCTGGACAACAGAAGCGGAGGCATTCCGTCAGAGGAGCTCAGTTCCCCCCAAAACCTTCAGGGCACCACGCTAAGGATGGAGGGTGGCCAGAACAAGGCTGGATGGCACCCAAGTGAGCACAGCAGCTGAGTGTGGCAACAGGCTTGGAAAAATGTCCCGCTGGCTCCTGTGGGACTGGTCTTTCCAAGACAGGTTGCAGGGGATCTTTGTGAAGATTGCAGGAACATGGGAAGGGGCCCCTCTCTCCCCAGCTGCCATCTCCATGAAGATCGTGCAAGCTGCCCCTGGAGGGAGAGACGAGCAGCCCCTTGGCTTCTCCCTGCAAAGGAGGTCTCTGCAGCCTCAGCCCCTTCTCTAGGCAGTCACCGGGTGGTGCCCACCTTTGCCTTCCTGCCTCCCCTGCAATTATAAATGCCTCTTCTCAGTTACTGGCAGTGACAACTCTAAGCTTTCACGCTGTGAGGCGGGGGGGGGGGGATTAGGTTTTGGCCTCACCTAGATTGGGCAGGGGCGCCTCCCAAATTGAATCTGGCCTCAGGCTGAAAGACGCTCCCCACCTGGTCCACGCTGCCTGGCATGCCCAAGCTCCTCCACGGCTCGGGATGTGGCCCCAGTGTGGGGCGGGCAGAGTGCGGCCGAGTGACAGAGATGGTCTTGGCAAGGGTGCCCGCCCGCCCGCCCTCCCTCTTCCTCCCACTGCGACTGACCCTCGCTCCACAGGAGACATTCTTCCCTGCAGGAGGGCCCTGCCGTTCTTCACATCCAGCCAGAAAGCCTTCCAACAAGAGCTGGAGATAGGTGTGGCAGACCATCAATTCCCACTGAACGAGGCAACGCTCTTCTGCGGAATGAGCCACCTCATCCGGCACGCCCATGTTCTCGGAATCAGGGCCCTCGACGTGCAAGGCCTGGATGTGCCACCGCCTTCCCTCAGCCCCGCCGCTGAGGACAGGATGACGCCCTTGACCTGCTGTGCCTCAGCCCTGGCGGAAGCGAGCAAGCTGAACGCGTGAGGAACCCCAAGGCCTTCGGGGCATAGCAATGCCTTCTCTTGTCATTTCCTCTGTTCTTACGGTTCCCACTAAACTGCACCTTAATGTCAAATCGCTATTTCTTGGCAACGAAGCAGCCTCGTTGCCATGATAGCACTTGCCTAGTAATTAAAAAAAAACACATTTAGTTGCAATATTGGAGTTTGCTTAAGCACATCTACAGGCGAATGGAAGCTTGGACCATGGCCATGCCCAACACTGCCGCCCCAACAGTCAGCGTGAAGAAGGGCAACAGCAGCTTCCCGCAGACGGGCCTCTGCCAGATGCTGAGATGACTGCGCAGGGCCCTGGCCCGGCCGGCCAATGGCTGGGGCCATGGGTGTCATGGAAGGAACTGGGTCGTCTCTGCCTGGTGTAAGAGGGTCGCCTGAGAGGAGGTGGCCGATCAGAGGTAGAGCTCAGGGCTTGCATGAGTATTTCAGGTTCAGTCCATGGCAGACAGTCCCAGGCACCTTGGCGAGCCAGTTTGGACAATACTCGGCGCAAAAGGCCATGCCTCTGACTCGGCACGACAGTGCCCCCCTCTGCGCCGGGGCGAGGCCCTGCAGCATCCCTGGTGCGCCTCCAGCCCTCTTGTCCTCCAACAGTCTCACTGGGCACGGAACGCTGCAGAGTCAAGACAGCAGCCGGAGTGCGGGAAGGTGCAGCGGTGCCACTTCGGCCAGCAACCCTGCTCTGAATTGCCGGGGCGGGAAAAGAGGTGAGCATGCAGGGGGCACCAGGCAGCCACCTGGGCAGACGGGGCCGGGGCGGGGGCTTCTGCGGAGGGCCCGCCCTTGGGCACCGGAGGGCAGCACTTGCTCAGCCGTGTCCTGGAAGAGGAGCGAATGGAGACCTGCTTGTGGAAGGGGGCCACCCGGACACGAGAAGGCAGGAAGTGGGCAAGCAGATACATGGTGCCTCCTTTCTTCTTTACTTGACACTCTGCCCTCCAGAGTTCTCAGCCGGGAGCTTTTCGGAAGCTTTGACGGCCATTAAAGCAACCGGGACCCTCGGGAGCACCCAGCCTGGGTCTTCGCTCTGTCATGGTCTGCTCATGGCTCTGAAGAGCAGGTGCTGGCACAAAATGAACCCTGAAGGGAGGAGGGAAGGGGGCGCCTCAAGCACTCCACCTAGCCAGGAGCACATTGACCCGGGGTGGGACCTGCAAGCTAACGCTCCTTTCCCCCGGGTCTCCAAGGGAGAGAAGCCCTTCCCACGCAGGAGGCCACCCTACCAGCTCTCTGGGCATCCTGTCATCGGAAGTAAGTCATCTCTTTTAAGCAAATGATAGCACAGATGCAGCTGTAAGAACTTGCAGCGGTGGGGTGGGGGGGAGTGTCTCTGTTCTAACATACCCCACCCAATTTCGGAAAGCAGAATCGAGTCACCCGAACACGCTTTGTCCGGGAGTGCCGTGGAGACAAAGGACTTCCTGGAGCGGCCTCCCCCAGCTCCATGTACAGGAGTCTTTGTGATTTTTTCCCCATGATCCATATAAAATAGTCTTCTAAAATAGTTTCATGCAGAAGGAAGTTGGCTCCACACGAGCGTCCCTTGAGGTTCTCCGTGTCTTCTGTGGCGGGACAAAAGGCTTGTCATCCCTGGCTGCACCGAAGAGCAGTGTCCGTGGGCTTGGAGAGGCCTTCAGGCCCGCTTCTCCCAAGGCGAGCCGCGGGCAGGGCTCTTCTGTCTCATGGGCAGAATGTCGTAGTGACCGGGGATGTGGCTGTTCCGGGGCAGGTCATAGGGGTTCTGGATGTAGCCAGCGCCGCGGAGACGGGTCTCCTGGACCACGCTGATGGTGGGCTCTGCGAAGACAAGAACGGAACGCCGGTAAGCAGCAGCTCACCCCAGGCAGCGGCCTGGGAACAGTTCCGAGCGGGAGGAGGCGCTTAGTCTGGAGATAAACTCCAGAGCTCTGCAGTGGGCTCAGCTCCCACGCCAGGGGTTCCAGAGCAATCACCCCCGAAGGAACTGTGGCTCTGTAGCTCAGGGCACCAGCCATGGCCCCAGCCCCACCAGAAAGCCTGTCCCTGCAGCGGGAAGGTGCCCACGCTTGGCCTTCCCTAGCCCACCCGCTCCAAGTCCGGCTCATCCGCAGGGGCCAACCTGAAGGGGCTGTTCCACCCAGCCCATGGAAGCTTTGGCAGGCAACGCCTCTAGCTGCTCCCACCTTCACCCGGGCACTGTGGCACGTCTCGTTCCGGTCCAGCTGTCCCAGACGCTGCGGTGCCAAGCGAGTTGGGGGTTGCCTCTCTTGCGACGCTTGCGCCCAGTGCTTCCCCGCAGAAGCACAGCGAGGCTTGCCCACGGTCACAAGGGCTCCCGGAGATCCCGAAGGCTCGGACAGGCCCGTCTGGGCAAGGTCACCCAGGGCCAGGGACATGGACCAGCTCCCCCACGCTGAAAGGCCAGGCTCCTCGCTCCTGTTCACACCACCGGCTCCCCCAGCAGCAGGACGGCTGCTGTGCATGGCAATTCTGCAAGGGTGCGAGGGAGGCCGGGCCGGGGCAGGTTGCGCTCCGTGTTCCTGCGCCCCCTAGTTTCCCTCTTAAAGCAAGTGTGCAGAGTGAGTGCCTCTAGCGGCACAGAGGCCTTGGGGAAAAGCCTGCTGACATCTCTGCAGCCTGGCTAAGAAGATACAATTACCAGCAATTAAGAAAAGGGCTTTGAGGATCCCTCCCACCCCCAAAGAAACCCAAAATAAATGATGCAGCACAGTGAACAGAGAAGGAAGGAATATATGCAAGGAGCAGGGATGCTGGTGTGCCATCCGACGTGCCTCCTCAGAAGTGGTGGGTTATGAGGCGGAGGGTTGTGGCTTCAGGGTGAGGGTTTTTTACAGTGGGTACCACGTGGACGCAGAAAGTCACTTTCCCTATCGCCGGCCGATGCCCTCGCAACTCTGCTCAATTCCTGGGTCAGTGAGAGAAGCAACAGCAAACTCGTTCTGGCCTTCAGAGCAGTAATCTAACCCCACCTGGTGTGAAAAATGGAGCCCGGGACGAAGCACCACTAAGTGTCTCTGTGTTCCTCTGGTGAACTCGACTGGTTTTGCAGCGCAAGCAGCAGATTTAATTTTGGGGTCTGCGCACCGTGCCCCGGCGCCCTTGAAACGGGCCCCTGCTGCCTGGAAGGACTCACCAATGTCATAGATATTTTTATTAGCCACTGGCAGGGCGGGTGCGTCCGGGTGGGAGGCCTCTCGGTGGGCGGGCGACTTCATCTCCACGTAGCTGCTCTCGGGGTGCTTGCAGGGGGCGCTGGGCGGGTCCTTGATGGTGGCGTAGGGGTTTTCACTGCTGTTGAGGGAACAGGTGCTCGAGCTGCAGGCCGATTCTTTCATGTAGTCTGCAAGAGAAGAGGCAGCCGGGCCCCTTAGCACGCATGGTACTGGGCCTCGAGAGCGGGGTCGGGGATGAATTCTGGCCCTCAAAGTGCACCACACGGGGGACCCACCAGTTACGCCTCAGGTATGTCGGAACCACTGTCTCTCCAAACCATCTGCTCATCCAAACTCATTCGCAAGTCATTTCCTGAACATTCAGTAGGAAGAAAAACAGCCCTTCAGTGCGAGGCTCGCATGGTTAGAAGCCTCTCATTGCCAAGTTACAGCATTGCATTTCACGCTTGCGGCCCCCCCGCCCTCCCCCCGACTCTTGAACCCGTGTTAAATCGCCCCTTGCGTGCCCTACTGGGGAACCAGGCACATTCCGGCTGCTCCGCAGAGACCCCTTTGCCAGCAGCCTGAGTCGGGGGCACATCCGAGAGGGCAACACCCCGATATTCCCCAGGGCATTAGTGTGCAGCATGCTTTGGAAGTGTATTCGTCTCTCCCAGAATGGCATTGCCAGGGCCTGGTGCACGTGTTTAAAGTTTCAGTGGCCACTCGGAAATGGAAAGTCGGAATTTGTTCGTGTTCCTTCCAGATGTAAGGCAGGGAAAAGGGAACACCACGTTCCAGCAAAGACCTCCTGTAATCCCTAAATTCGGTCCGACTTGTTCCCCACCCGCTGCCAGACAACCAGCGCTCTTCCTCATGACACGGGACAAGCCAGTGTTTTCTCCCCGGCCCCTTTTGCCCCTTCATCGACTGCTTCCTTGCCAACAGTTCAACCGTGCGCTGCACAGAGCAGGGACCGGGGCGGGCTCAGCATGCCTCCGTGCCCAGTTGTGCTCCGCAAAGTGCCACGAGCATCACTGCGGTAGGCGTGCCGCGCACCTCGAACGATAAAACACACCGTCTTGTTGGCCAACAGGAGGACTGCCCCCCCGCTCCCGCTTGTCCACAGCCAGATCATGACCTTGTCGGATAAGAAGGCTGAAGTCCTGCGAGGAACGTCACGTCCCTGGAGGAGAGTGCCTTGCCGAGGAAGTCGCTTACCTGTGGCCGGAAGGATTTTAGCTCGGCTTGTCTGGTTGCTTCGGGCACACCAGGAGGGACCTGTCCCACCGCCTGCTCCTGAAAGCCCTCCACCCCCTGGGAAAGGGGCATCTTCACATCTGCTTGGGCCCTTCATCTTCTCCCCACACCGACCTGCCTGCCTTTGGGATGCCCTGTCCTCAGAGTGCCTTACCCATGCCGGAGTTCTGCCCAGACTGCAGGGCTCGCCTTCTGGTGCAGCACATTGTCCCTGCCGGCTTCCTGCGGCGCCTCTGCCCCGCCACCCGCTGCTTTCCTTAAAGCCGACACCATAATCTAGGTGGTGCCGCACGCCCAGAGAAGGTGTTCCCTCTTGGCTCGTCCTTGACACACGCGGGTTTAGGCAACATCACGGATTTTTTTTAATAGTGGGGTGGTGCTCCTGGCACTTCCATGTCTGCACTTCTTCTGTCCCTGTTCCGCTAACTTCACAACTGGAGAACAGCTCGTGATGGGGCGGCTCCGTCTGGGGAGCCCCAGCTTGTGCTGGCCAGCTCGAGAGCGGCCACGAAGCTGGGCTGGGGAAGTGCCGTCCGCTTCCGGCTCCCTCTGGCCACACCTTCTCCCCAGACACAAGGAGTCTGTCTGGGGTAGGCCAGACTGAGCCCCCCCCCCCCCACTTTTCCAAATGCATATTTGCATTCAATGCACCAGTTTAACCTCCTCTTCCTCAGAGCGATGCACCAGATAGAGTGGCAGCTAGCAAAGTTTGCTTCATAAAATATTTTTGGGGGGAAGGTCCCTATGCCCATTTTGAACCTGCAACCATAACACTCCCCTCCCCCAGTCAAAATTGGCCCTGTGAGGCTGCATTTTATGAAAAAAAGTGGCATTTGGAGAACAAACCATTCAGGGCTGACGGTCAATGGGACCTAAAAGGCCCTCTGCTTTCAGCCGCTCTCAGTTTGGCTGTGCGTAAGCACAAGACATTCCAGCATCTTACAAGAATCTATAAGGCCCTACACGCTTTAGGGCTTCAATAGCTAGCAGAAGCCTCCTCCCATGTCCACCTGCCTGGACCCTCAGGTCCTCAGCAGAGGTCCTGCTCCAGGACATAAGGAAAGTGGCTACTGGAGAAGGACCTTTTCAGCAGTGGCACCTGGGCTATGGAACCAGCTGTTCAGAGGCTCCAGGCCAACACCTGTCTGTTTGCACAGTATTCTAATATGGCCTTATTTATTTTACATGACATGGGGTTGTTTGCTTTGCTTTTGATTTTATAATGATTTCTGTCAGATTATATGTCTGATTTTATACTTCTTTTGATTTCTTCTTCATGTGTTATTTCTATAGGTTTTCTCTTGCAATTGCTTCAATAGGAACAGCAGTGCTTGGAATGCTTTTAACGTCTAAATATCTTGCAAACCGTCCTGCGAGGCACTGACGAAATAGGAACGGTAATGCTCAGGCATGGTGCCCCCACCCGCCCCCTTGCTCGAGGGGCAGCCTTGGGGCGGTTTTCCCTCCCTTTGCTACAAGCAACCAGCTCCACTCTTGATTTTTCTCCCCTCCACCCCACCCTGTTAACCTTTGAAGGCAGGGCCGGGTGCCTTCGTTTCCTTCGTACATGCACGCCCCGGGTCCGTCTTGGGATGCTGGGGGGGGGGGGGGAATGAATGGACGTTGGGGAGGGGCGCTGTGCATGCAGCTCTGCTCATTGCTGGTCTCTGTGAGTTTAGCAAAAGCTGCTCGCTGGTTTCCTCCGAGTCACCCTCAGGTCATGCACGGGGATGGATGGTGGCCGTGAATGGAACGTGCCACCCTTCTCCCGAGCAATCCAGTCGCCTCGCTTCTTGCAGAGGTACCATGTTTTGCCGCCCTGCTCCGGAGCAGGCCTGCTCCAGCGGGGGCTCTGGGTGGCCATGCAAAGCGTGGCTTTTGGATGCCCTCAGGCCGCCCTCTTCTCCTCCAAGGGCTGCTTTTCTGCCTGGCTCAGAGAACACCACATCTTGGCTTACTCCTCCTCCTCCTCCTCCTCCTCCTCCTCCTCCCGGCTGTGTGGATTCTCACACCACCCCTTGATTTGCTGAGGAACAGCAGCTGCTGCTGGAGCAAGGCAATGCAGAGCCGACAGGCCCCTGGTGGGCCTGCGCGATTTCCCCCACTCCTTTTCCGTACGTCCTGCCGCAGCGTCCTCCTTCCATAATTTGGGTGGCTGACGGCTGGAGCGTTCCCGGCCTCCTCGGGGCCACTTGGCGAGTCTTCGCCTCTGCTGCTCGCGTCCCCCGACACCAGTCCCCCAGCCAGACCGGCCCCACGTTCCTCGGGGCAGAAGCAAGAGTCCCGCAGGGAGGGACGTGGTGCAGCGAGGTGAGGGGCGCGACGGGTGGGGAGGAGGGCGGGACAGGGCGCCCCGTGACGTGACGCGGGACGGTGGCTGTGCCCGGCCTGGGCGGGGGACAAAACACTCTAACCTGCGGCAGGGCGAGGCCTGGATTAGGACCAGCGACTCATGGATCGCTCACCCCGGCCGGCCGCCTCCTCCGTGCTATCTTGCTCCTGCCTGAGCATGCGCGCTAGTGCTGGGGTGGGACCTAGGCTGGGTCGTACCTCAGTGGCTTACCTGAGTAAGCTTGTCAGGACTCAAAGTCCACTATTTACGCTCGGTCTACTCTAAGCCTGGTGTTCCTGCTAAGTCAGTGAACGCTCTGAGGGAATTTGCTGCTCTGAGATCTGATGGGCACAGATGTGGAGGGATGTCAATCAAGACAAAATTTAGGATTCGCCCGAATCCACGGGCAGACTTGCGGATCTCCATCGACAAGAAAGTTCCGTGTTTTGACAAAATCAGGAATGGGAAGCAAGAACAAAGAAGCCACTGATGCTTGTTCATGACTGGGATTGATTTTCCTGCTTATGCTTTTTTCTAATTGCTTGATTTCTATTTGAATTTTATGCACAGAGTTAAAAGCTTCTTTTTTTAGTCCGAGGCGTTCCCTCACCGCTCTGCATCTGGTTCAGTGTGTGCTTCAAAAATTAGAAGTTTGACTTCTCCATCTTCAAGGTGAAGTTTCCTTTCTAGGGGGTGCGAACATCAAGCGAACACTTTTAGGAGTGTGGGGCACAGGAAGGCCGGGGACCCCTGGGCGAGAGGGCCTTTGGGTCTGGCACAGCTGACTTGCGCAAACCGGAACACGCCACCTTGGCGCTGCGGCACCATCCGCTCGCTCATCGTCGAGGCCCCGCAGGCCTCCCTGGGCCTGCAAAGGGCTTCCGCCTGATCTGCTCGCCCCAGAGTGGGGCCTGAATTGGGGGCAGGCATCCAGCCCCTGCCGATTTTGCATTTAGAAGGCCCAGGGGCGGCGGGCGAGGGCTTTGCACACTCTCTGCAAACTCTCCTTATCCCCAGCTCTCTCTGGAGGAAGCCAGGGCGATGGAGGGTTTAGGGTAAACCCTGGATTATTTTGGCAGTGCGGAGTGGCCTGGCAGGACCATGCACGAGGCCGCAGCAAGAAGTGGAGCTGCTGCAGCCCCGGAGGCAACGCGGTGGCCGAAGAGTGCTTTTGTCTGCTTCGGAGCTTCCCAAGCCCCAGAGCTGCAGTCTTTTAAAAGCACAACGCCCTGCTCTTCTTTACACTTCCCCATGAGATTCGAGCAAGCCTGGGCTCTTCCAGTGCCCCCTAGAAATGGCCACTGAATGCCCCGTCCCAAAAGGGAGCTGCTGGCTTACAGAGAGGCCTTGGCACGTGCCCGGGACTGGCTCAGGGCCCGGATGCCGGCGGCTCCGGGCTGCAGCGCCTGCATGGGGCCTTTTCCCACCTTGCAACACAAGCGCCTTGGATGCGGTCTCTGCGGCCGGGAGCCACAGCCTCCGCTGCAACGATCTGGCCCTCTCCCTCCCTCCAGCCTGGCATAATCAAGCACTTATCTCTTTATGTGTCTATGAAGCATGTCACCTCGGTCTCTGCTGTTAAAGCAGAGCGACTGAGACGGAGCGGCCAGCTCAAGGCTGCGTGGTGAAGACTGGCAGAGAATTCAGAGCCACCCCCGCGTGATCTGCATGGGGGTGCTTCCGCTGCCTTTCTTAAAAAGCAACTCGGGTATGACGGGCGGGTTAATGAACAAGCAAGAGCATCGCAGCAAAGCGTGGGACAAAGCCAAACGGTCCGGCAAAAGCTCCGAGCCCCCGGGAAGCCCCCGAGCCCCCTGGCCCTGCCTGGCCTGGCCGCAACGCGCCTGCCTGCCAGCCCCTCGGACCGGCTCACCTCTCCTGCCATCCGCAGGCTGCCTGCTATGGGGCGACTCGCCAGCAGCGATACTATACCTTTGAAGCCTTTTTCCATAATGTATGTGTTCTGACGTCTATTCATCCCATAAGCACCTGCACAAAAATAATATACAATGGAAAATGCATAAATATGTTTATGCAAACCGGAAGGTGCCTCTCCTCGCAGAGAACCTGAGCTGGGCACTTCATGCAGTGGCCGCAGGGTGACCCGAGCCCAACCCACCACGCGGGCCGGAGGGGGAGCCTGCTTCCGCTGCGGGCGGCTGCGGGCGGCGAGAGGTCTGCCTCTGGCATGAGCGCCTGGCGGCATCACACTCCTCCCGAGTGACGGACCTACGGCGTCTTGGCCGACTGCGCCAGGCAACGCAAACAGGTGTGCGTACTCGCCCCAGCCGTGCGACACCTGCACCGAATTCTGCCTTTGCTGGCAGCTGGCGAAGCAGTTCAGTGGTGAAAGGACTTCCAAGCACAGGGAGAATTCGGGGGGGGGGGCAGTTTGCTTGCAGCCCACTAATTCAAGACACGGGTTGATTGCGCCAGAGGGGCACGGCTTCCCCACAACCCTGTGGCGGCTGCAGCGCTTCTGGAAGGACAGAGCGCAGCCCATGGATTCGCTTCTAATCTAGGCCCTCTTTCTCTCGCAGCTGGGACGCCTCGGCAAGGAAAGCCACCCTCCGCCGAGGAAAAGGCTGGTCTCCGCCGGAGGACACAGCCCGGTTGTGGTCTCACACAGGGACAGTGTGGAGGCACCCTGGGGGCACATGCTTCCAAATCCTTCCGCTGCTGGCACTTCAGCAGAGGATGCTGCACGCGCATTTCACATGCCTCACTGGGAGCGGGTAGAAATACCCCCTGCTTGGTTTGCAGCTGCCCTTCAGTGGCAAAACACTTCCAGGATTCAGCCCCGCCGTGTCCAGAATGGGAAGGCGAACGACCACAGACACCAAGGTCTTGTTTCCTCTCCTTACACCTCACACACACTTCCTGCCACTGCAGGTAACAGGTTAAAAAGCCGTTCCCATTCTGAAATGTGTAAAGTGTGTGTTGCTTCTGTCTGGTGGGGAGCTGGTGTTCGAGAGGAATCCCATGGGAACGGCCTGCTGCACGCCTCTCCCACCAGAAGCTGATGCAGCCACGGCCTGACCCCGTGCTGCTGCTGGGGGGAAACCAGCCTGGATTTGGCACAGATGCTGCTGGGCCTGGATTCGCCTGCTGGATTATGCCAGCCCCTCAACTACGGGCTGCACCGAAGCCCCCGAGCAAAGGTGTGTTGGGAAGCCGTCAGCCGGACAACTAGTTGTATGGGGGGTCCATTTGTCCTGCCACGAGATGCAATGGGGGGCAGCAGCCTCCCACACAGCTGCACACAGAGGCACAAGCTGAATGAGCACAGACCTCCACTGGAGGACAAGAATTCTGGATGGGCAACCAGTTCTGTTTCCAGGAGGTGCTCCAATCCCTGAAGCCTTCTGTCTACACGAGATACCCCTGACGCTGAGAGGAGGAGGCCTGCCTGCCTGCCTGCCTGCCTTTCCACATACAAGAAGCAGTTCTTCCCTATAATCTAACATCTGTTCCAAACATGAAGAAGCCAATGCACACATCTAGACACCTTTGGATTTCTATGCTGCCTGCAACCGGGAGTTCCCTGAGAAGCAGTGGAAGATGCATTGCTCTTGCTGATGGACAATCAAATCAGAAAGTAAGAAAAATAAATGCATCAAGACGGAAGAACCAAAACTCCAACTCACACAGTAGCCCTTTCTCTTGAGCTTCCAGCCCCTTCACAGTGGGTCCGGTCGGTCCAGCAACCCGGGGCACCTGGGTGCCACAGCCAAGGCCAAAGTGGGTGCAGGGAAAGTGGGCGGCATGCGTCGCTTTCCAGCTCGGGAGGCAGGGCGGTGGCAAGGGAGGTGGCGTACATGGAAAAGCCAGGGGGAGCGGGGGCATTGCAGGCAGCGAAGAACTGGCAGGGGAGCTCCCGCAGCCTGGACGTGGCATTGCCAGTGCCGAGGCCGGCCGGCCACTCCAAACCGCTTCCACCTGCAGCCCTTCCCACATGGCTGCACTCGAGGGAGAGAACAGCATGCACGGCGAGGCCTGCTCCATCGGCCCGCTGGATGCAAGTACACACTGAGCTCCTTTTCTCCAGGAACTGCAACTTATGTAAGTTTTAAGGGTCCCCTCCCTCCCCTCTCCAATTTTTTTTTTTTTTTTGCATCGTGACGATGAGATGGCAAGACTACAAGCAGGGGCTGTCTTTTTAAAAACATCTTCTGCTTCGCTTAATCACTTTAGGTATCTGTTATTATTACTAATAGTAGTAACAGCGATGCTAACATGTTTTTACACAACTTGAAACAGCAGGGACAGTAGAAAGGCAAATGTGAAGGTGACTTGAAAATGCCAGTTGATATCTTTCTGGCAACCTGGGGAATACTTATTTGATTTGTATGCTGTTGTCTTTTAGGATCACAAATCCCATTGTACAACTATGAATTGCAGAATGCATGATACAGTTTCTACTGTGGTTATGTCAATATTGCGCTGTAATGTCTTAATTCTGCCACTAGATGACACTATGGTGCCATTTGCTGACTCAAGTGTATAAGGGTGAATTTATTTATTTATTTATTTATACATGTATCTATAGGCCACCTACAACTGCCAAGGCCTTCATCATAGTGCACGTTTTGTTCCACTTGCGACACCTCTGCAACAACTCAACACTAAAACTAGGGATAAAAGATTCTGTCAGTGTTGGTTTCTCTGTATTTAGTTCTCAGTTTGGTTCATCCCAAACTTTTGCCAATCTTAAATTTCTGCTTGCTCTGAATAGAGTTTTTAAAAATGTTATAATGAAAATTAATGCATTTTTGCACATTTCTCTTAAGGCATGCATTTCTGTATACAATTTTGCCTAATATGTTACTAACAGACAGCTTTAAACTAATCAATTAATTAATATACAAACGTGGTGCAAAGACTTCTCCTAATATAATGCATTTTAATGCATTTTCAGTGATATCCATTTTTATGTGCAAAATTATCTCCTATTTTTTGTACACAGCTTTTGATTGGAGAACTTCATTACAAAATTTGGAGAAGAAAACCGAGTTCTGGTTTGTGTGTTGGTTTGCAAGTGCCAAGTTGGCATTAACCTGTGCACTCAATGCATTTCTCCTCCATCCCTAAAAACTCACATCCACTGAACGCAAGGGCCACACTCGCACGCACACTTCCCGTGTTTGCTCAAACACTTGCTTTCTGTGAGAGTGCGCTAGTGGATTCTGTAGAAACAAGCAAAAGAAGAGCAAAGAAAAACAGAGGCCTCCCAAAGAAGGAGGGCTTCGATGCAGTGAGGAAAATGGGATTTAGCACTATTTTAGTAAGATCCATGTAGAGCACAGATGAAAGGAAAGAAACCTACAGTTTTGACTGTGTAAGCTAATATTTAAGCAGACCTACACCAGCTTTAGTTTCAAATGACTCGAGTGCCGAAAACTACTGACCTAGTTCATTCAGGTAGCCGTAGGCGCTCCCGTCTGCAGCGTCTCTGCCAAGCAGTTTGTGACTGAGCTGTTCAAAGAGTCATCACAGCAACGAGTTAACGCTGGAGCAACCGAGGCACCCCCCGACCAAGCCAGCGAGGGGGAGGGTGGGGGTTAAAAGGCAGGCAGGGGGGTGCCCCGAGCGCTGCCCCCACTCCAGCCGGCTCAGCTCGTCCCGAGACGGTGGACCCAGCGGAGCAGAGGGGTCAAAGGCAGACCACATGGGGCATGCGGGGAGTCGCCACTTCCTCCTGCAGCAGGCACGTTTCGGTGAGCGGAGCCGCCATTTCGCAACGAGAGGGCGATATTCGTGGCACATCCAAGGAGGAAGGGGAAGGGGAAGGCCCTGGAAGGTCGGAGGCCACTGACATGCGGGCACCAAGCGCACGTGGAAGAGAGGGAGGCAACGTCACGCCAGGCAGGATCCCCCCAGTTCAAGGAAAAAATCACGCCACCGGAGGAGAATGAGGTGCCAGCAGGCCTCCTAGCAGTAGCCAAGCCCGGAAGCGAGACTCCTGCACGCGTGGGCTGTTCCGGGGGAGCCGGCCGCCAGCGAACCCTCCTGGCCCCTCCACCACCTCGTCTGTCTGTCCTCCTCCCGACCGTGGAAGGGACACCAAGGAGAAGAAGGGGGCGCGGCTGTACCGGCTCTGACCGTGGTGCCGAGAGCGCTCAGTGGAAGGGGGCTGGACCGAGTGCACAGGGCAACGTGGGGCCCCGAGGAGCTGAGCCAGGTGGGCAGCGGGGAACGGCCACACGCCCTGGGTGCGGCACGCTCCCCACAAGCAGCAGGTTTCCCTGGGGTGGTGCAGCGGCCGGCGCTCCGTCTGAGCCCCGGCCACAGGGAGCAGGGCCTTGGTGGCACTCAGCCGTTGGCTGTGGGGGGGGGGGAGGCTTGAGGGGGTGCGCATAGGAACAGGGACCTACTGGCAGTGAGGGAGCGCTGGGCCGTGCACGACCTAACCGAGCCCCGGCAACGATGCACCGCAGCCGCCCTGGCGGTGGAGACACTTGCCGGGAAGGTCTGATCATGGAGACCCGCCTGCAGCATCCATATAAAAGGGGGCAGCACCCACCCTTTCCCTCGGTTCCAAGAGGGGCTGCCCCGCGGCCTCAGGACCGAGGCCGATAAAGCCAGCCTCGCATTCCGGAAGCAGTGCAAGGAGAGGATGCACGGGGGGGGGGGGGGGACGCCGCGGAGGAGGGGGCAAGGGGCGGGCCCGGCGGTCACACGCAAGGGCGGCCGGCGGGCTTGTCTGCTCCTGGGTGGCGGGCCAGAGTCGCCCCCGGGTGCCCGTGGGGGGCTGCTCTCTCGATCGCGCAGGTGGCCCTGGCGCCAGCATCCAATCGGTGGCACTTGGCGAAGGGGGGGCCAGCCAGGTCGCCCCTTGCACAGGTCCCGGCACGCAGCGCGGCCGACGGCACCACGACTTGGGCTGCATGTGCTCTCAGCCAAACCAGAAGCGGCAGCCTTGGGGCAGTGAAATGTCCACACAGCCACGAGCGCCCGGGGCACTGGCGAGCCCTGTTCCGGGGCTCAACAACGGCCTGGCCACAGGGGCACCACCGACCACACGCCCCTCACCCCCCAAGCAAAGTGCAGGCTTGTCCATCCGAGGCGGCTTGGAGGCGTCCCTCGTGCGCTTCCCGAGCGGCGCCTTCGATGCCATCAAGAAGCCGGGAAGGACGAGAGGAACTGAGGGCGGGGAACCCAACGCCGGGGGTGCCTGACAGAGAGAAGCATGGAGAGGGCCTCTCTTCTGGTTTTGGTTTGGTAGGAAGGCAGGCCATAAAAGGAGCCGTTGTTGAGGGAAAAGGCTCGCGAGGAGAATAAGAGAGCAACAAGGTACTAAGTTTGCCGAACAGTGAGAAAGAAGAAGAGATGCTCAGAAAAGGTCTAGGGAGAGAAAGAACTTCGCAAGGCACCGAGGTGGCTGGAGAAGAACTGCGGGGAAGGGTAGGAGCTCCCCCTTTTATATGGACACTGCGCCAAGAAAGCCCCCCCCCCCCCCCAACGCTCCCAGCGACTGAATCTTCCTGGCACCAACTCTCGTGTGCAATGCATGGCGACCACAAAGCAGAGCAAGCAGCAAAGCGAGTGGGAGCAGCTGGGTGGAGACAGCCCAGATCTCCGCAGAAAAGCAGGGTTCTTGAAGGGCTGCGGCTAAAAAGTCAGAGCATCGCAATGGGATACCTTCTCAGGGCGCGGCATGGCATCCAGCGCCGATCGCTGAGCTACCCTCCCTGTTTGCAGTTTAAAGCGAAGAGCTTCATCTCAGAAAGTCAGCAGCAGAGCTTCATAAAGAGGGGCCCGACGGGCCCCTTGCTGACGTTGGTCTGTCCTGCTGGCCTTTCCATTCCCCTGCGTTAGCGGAGACGGACCATCCTGCCGTGCCTTTCGCTAGCTGGCCGAAAGGGCGAGACCCAGCCGGGATAGTCCAGAGAAAGGATTCTGGCAAATTTCCTTGAACTGGGGAAAAGAGTGGAGGGCAAGGGGGGGGGGGTCATATCTACCTTACTGGAGAGGCTTCCATCCAGATTACTGGGAAAGGGCCGCGAAGTCACCCCACATGGCAGGGTGTGGTAGTTTGGGTTGGAGAGGCAGTGGGCAGTGCTGCTCCCTTGAGAGAGATCTAGGGAGAAAACGAGTCATCACAACACTCTTCCGCAGTGCCAGGGGAGGGGCGCGCTCACATGCACACACACACACACACACGTGCCGGCCAGAGTGTGGGCCCGGGAAGCACGCTTCTCCCGGCACACCTTGGCGCAGGTTGGTGGGGTGAGGATGCTGGGAAGCGGAGCTGCCGGGAGCACCGAGGCCTCGACCAAGCTCTAGTCTGGGCGGCCTTGCCCAACCTGGCACCCTCCAGATGTGCTGGGTTGCCTGGGGAACGCCAGCAGCTGCTGTCTGAGGCCTCCAGAGAACTCCACACCCAGCTGTGCTGCTCTTGGTTTGCTACAGGGAGAACCGCTTCCACAAGGCTACTGCCCACACTCCAAAGGAGGCCAGTTCCAGGGGACCCTGCCGGAGAGACAGGGTCAAAAGGGCTTGTGTTGGCCACCCCTCACAAGCGAGGATGTGGGACTGGCCGGAAATGCAAAGTCTGGGCTAACATGTCGTCTCAACCCGCAACACGGGACAGATTTAAAGTATTTTAAGTTAAGCTTCATTCCTGCTCATTTTCTCCTCTTCTCTTAGAAAAAAGAACCCTGAGAAAAAATGCGCAGGCCCCACCCTTCTCAGGTTGGGGTCCAGCAATCTGCTTGTTCTGGTTTCTCATTTTTCTGTCTTAAGTTCAGTTCATCTTGCAGCTTGAGAGTTTCTCTAAAAACTTTCAGAAGTGCATCTCAAACTTTCAAGAATTAAAAAAAAAAATGTTTACATGAGTATTTCTAAAACTATACCATGGTTCTCCTAACAGATTAATTTTTGCTTAATATACCATACTTTTAATAGGCCATTTAAAATGTTACTTTCCCTAATTTACAACCTCCAGTTCTGAGAAGTGCAAATTTCAAAGGTCAAAGTGGTGCACAGTGGTGTGAAAGTATGAAATTTGGTAAGTTTGCAAGGAAATGCAGATTGAACAAATTTCTCCCCCTTGCCTAAGTATAACCAGCTTGTGGATCATGGCCCTGCAGATGGAAGGTATTAGTCACAGAAGTAAGCCTTATTTTTTTTAAAAAAAAAGCAAGTTCCCGGCCCTTATGGAGAAAGGATGCTTGGAAATATGCTGCCATCTCCTAACAGTCCCCTACCAGCCCTAGGAGTTTTCCTGCCTTGCACAGCTCTTCCTCTCCCAGCCACCCCATGAATCAGGAGAAGTGTTGCACCTAATAGAAGAGCATTGCAAAATAAATCTAGCAAAACAAGAAGATCGGTGTAATGCTACGTAATGCAAAAGCGTAGTTTCGCAAAAGCAGAATGCATGTGACCCTTGTCCACGGGGACCCGCTCAAAGCAGGCAGGGGTTGGATTGGACCCCGCAGGTCTCTTCCCTGGAAATCAAGCCTCTGGGGCACCCAGCCCCCTTGTCCCTCCATCTGTGAATCAAGGCGCTTCTTTCCATATCCTTGGCCAAGGTCCATTATGATTAGATCAAGATGCCAGCTATTTAAGGAACACAAAACTGTGAACTTCAATCATTATTGGCTTGCAATCAATTTCCCTTGCTAATGAAGAAACCAGAAGCCGCCACATCCAACTCAAAATAGTACATGTTCAGAAGATTAAAACTATCTTAATTTAGCAATTAAGCAACTCGCAAATTTATTAGCAGTCTGATAAGGCTGTAAAGCAGAGCAAGTGACTCCTGAAAGCAAGGCCAAGTAAATGAAGCGCACTTTTGTTTACCGTGTGTTAATTAAAGCCTTATGTTAGAAGTATTATTAAAAATGCTGCGAGCTGAACTAGAAAATCCATTGGCGTTCCTTCAACTACTGGTAATGGCTTGATTCAAGATGGAAACAATATGCAGGCGTGAAAAATCAGCCTCTGCATGTATGCACTGCCTTTTCTGGTCCCACCTGGCTTAATTCAAGTCGTCATAACCGTCGATCAGAGCTGGAATCGAGCTTTAACTGTGGCCAGCCTTGGAACAAGAGCTGGGCCCACCTGGGAGCTCATCTGTGACGTTGGACACTTCTCTTCGGACACCTGGTGGAGCCTCCAAAGTCACTTCAGAAAACGTGGGTGCCCAGAGGAGGGCTTTTCCCTGAGCGGGGCAAACTGAAGAGACTTCCAGATGGAGGAGTCCTTTTGAGTGCTGGGTGCCCAAACCCAAGAGGGCAGGCACCAGTTTGACTGCTGCTACCAGAGAGACCCAAACCCTGCCGCAAATCCCGACAGCCGCCTCTTCTTTTAGTCCACTGACACTCGGTTTCTTGTTTTGGCAAGGAAGCCCTGCTCAGGCATTGGATCTGTACCTGGACCTCTCCATCCAGGGCTGGGATCGCAGCCCCCTTTGCCGAGGGTCCTCCATAAGCTTGGGCAAGGGGCACTCTCAGCGCTCCATCAAAGGGGAGCCACTGGGACTGACCTTGGCAGGTTGCCACTTGGGCAAGCTGAGAGAACTGGCCGCGCTCTGCAGAGCCTGGGCTACAGAGAACGACGGGGCCCGCAAGAGGCGGCGGCAACACGTTTTCACCTCTGCACGCTCACATCAGAGTTGCCGCTGGCCAAATCTTCTTCCAGGACACCCTCTCTCTCAGCTCCAGAAGGACAGAGGTCCCTCCACCAGCCGCAGCCCTCCATGCTCGCTGGAAGCGCTTGGGGGCCGAGGGAGCTCTGCCCCCACTTCTTGCCTGCCCTTCTCTGTGACGGATGTTACATCCATATTCTGGAAGCTCAGAGGCTCCTTTCAGGCATCCGGCATTTCTGCTTTGCATCTCGTTTTCCTTTCATCCATGCTGCCGGGTCTTTCTACACAGTTCACGCATCTCGGGAGTGTGCATCACTTCCGGGCGGCCCCTTTCCCTTCCGAGCTGAGCTTGCTTTCAGGGGGGACGTGTGAATCCCGCAAGACGATGCCGCAGGGCGCCCCGCCTTCGGGAGCCACCTGCCATGTGCCCCCCGCCTTCGGGCAGGGCGCCAGCCTGCCTCGCTCCTCTCCATGACGCGTCCCCCCACCCCTTCCCCAGTGCCTGCCTTCTCTCCCAAGTGGCAGTCAAGACCCTGTGCTTGGACTGGCTCCCTTCGTTCCCTCATGCACGACGGGGCCGCTTTTGACCCCGGCCCTTCGGCCCCGAGCTCAGCGTCACGCGCAATCAGCGCGAATCCCCAGCGAGGGACCCTGAAGCAGAAACTGGAGCAGGGCACTGAGAGAGGGGCAGACGTGACGTTCAGCTGCTGGAGTCCGAGGGATCCACGTGCAGCAGGTCTCGCCCCCGTCCCACTGCGGGAGCCCACAGCCCCCTTCGCTGTTCTCACATAATGAGTCGTTTTAGGGCTTTTCGAGCAAATGAACGGATGCTTTCCTCTTACCTGGAAAGCAGGTCGCATGGTACCCTGTGGCCGCAAGGGTTAACACCTGCCTTTGCGTCCCAGGCGCGGGTGACCTGGCCGTCCCTGGCAGGCCTCCCTCGGGGGTGTGTGAGTGTGCACGCGTGTGTAATGATTCTCCGTGTGCGGAAAGCACAGGGCTTGCTGTGCAAGCCAAGGTCGTTGCGATACGCAAGGCTGCCGTTCTCCCCGCACACACTTGTCATAATGACAGATATTTTGCCAGCTGACAATAGTGATTTGCATTGGAAATATGTCGGTGCATCTTTAGTTCTATAGAAACACGTCAGGATCTGGAACGAAGGGAGGGAGGACTCTGCTCTAAGACTGCGGTGACCTTTATACCCCTCCAGAGGAAAATTGGCGGCTGGCAAGGAAACTATTTACAATAAAGACGGATGGCTAATTTATGCTGCCTGCTGAGCACTCCTGCCGTTCCCTGGGGCACCCTGCACCCAGGTTCCACACACTCCCCCGAGCACGTCCCCCACGTTCCGGCAGACCTGGCCAGCGCCGATGGCTAATACAATTAAATGCAAACCCAATGGCTGTTCTCGGGGCAAAAGCAATTTTTCTAAAGGGAGGCCCACGCTGGAAGAACGCTGAAGGCCATTACGAAATGCAGCGGCTGAAAAGAGGCCAAGTTCCGAAGCTGAGCGTGTAAACTGAACGCCGCGCTCCAAGGACCGGCCGCCCCATTCACGGCAACCCTGTGCGCTCCTCGTCACTCCGCTCGCTTGTTCTCAGCTCCTCCCAGCCTGGAGGGACGGGGCGGCCTGGGGTGCAAATTCAGGAAGCAGCGACGCTCCCTCCCGTTGCGAATCGGGCCCGTCCTTCCACCTGGGGTTGCTGGCAACAGCGGTAAGACCACAAATGCAGCAGCTGCCCGGCACAGTTCAGGTGGGCCGTGTTCGTGGGGTGGAGGTGACACCTGGCCCCTGGCCCGTCTGCTTGTCCAGTGTTCCCATCCTTTGCCAAAAATGGCTGGGGGGAGGCAGCAGCCACCCCCCAACAGGGCTTTCCACAAGTGGGGGGGGGGGCTTGTGGAGGTCTGGGCCCCAAGCCAATTTCCTTCTTCAGGAATCGGGTCCATTGTGTACGGCCCTGGTAGCCTAACCCGTGACATCAAGCCCTCTGGCTGGAATTGCCGCGACCGGGACAAGGGCTGCCTTCGCTCACGGGGCAGTTTCCCGGAGAAGCGGCAAAGGGCTGCCGTTCTTCTGGAAGCAGGTACTGCGGGATGGCCAGCTGGTTTTCTGCCGCTCTTTCCCAGGAGGAGGCAGAATGGCAGCTTAGGTCACCCCGCACTGCGGGAGTTCGCTGGCCTGGCCACCTCGGCTTCCTTCCAGGCAATCCTCTTAGTCTCTGCTAAGAGAATCGGCAGCTCCCTCACGGGACGGCCAAGGAGGAGGCTGCTGGGAGGCTGCGCAATCGGAAATCCGTGAATGTTTGCAGCACATAACCCGCCCCCGCCCCCAACTTCAGCCGGCAAGTTGCATTTTGAGGGAGTCAAACTGGTCAACTCTACAAGGTTGTTGTAAGTTACTAAGACAGAGAAACAAACAGAGAAACAATTTTCCTGGGAGAGATACGATAAAGATAAAATATGATGAAAATACCAAAATGAACCGTTGGGTTGATTGGTGGTGTAGAAGAAATAATAGTAGTAGTAGCAGTAATGAAATATCGAAAGTACTGGATAAAAGAGCAGCAGGAAAAGCAAGTACTGAAGATAAAATGCAGCTAAAATCCCTCTGCGCTGTGCCAACGCAGACTTTGACACAGTCAAAGTGTCCCGGGGAAAATGCGCTGCAGGGGGCACCAACACCAAGCAGGCCCTGCTTCCCGTCACTTTGTGTGGCCACAGGGCTGCCAGAGGGGAGCTTCCGAGAAGACCCCCCTGAGTGGGCAGGCTCCTTGGGGGATGGGAGCCCCAGTCCCATGAGGGGGGAGCTCTCTCGATGGTGCCCCCAGCACGGCCCCTGCCAGCCCGCTGCAGCAGCATCCAGCTCAAAGAGCCACTTCCGCCCCAGTCTCCGCAAGGGAGCGCTGGACTGAAGAGGACCTCTGGGTGCTCTTTTAGGGGGCGAGCAACACCCCCCGATGTGCAACGGCGCTCCCTGGGGCAGGGGTCCACCCGATGCCTCGGGCTTGGCTCCCCGGACTCTGGTGCACCGTGCAGCTGCCCAGAGCCCGGGTCCTGGTGAGCGCTCCCTGTGTCCACGGGGTGCCTGGCCCACCGGAAGCGGAGACCCACGCCCTGCACAAGCACCACCGCTCTTCCGAGCCCAGTGCCACCCCCACCTGCTGCCCCCGCCTGCATGCTGGGCTCACCGGGAACGGGCCTGGGGCACCGGCTCACAGGGCCCCCTCCTGTGCCCCTCGGCTGCTCAGCAGGTTCCCAAAGGCTCGTCCCGGCCCTGCTGGTCCCCGGCACGGCCCTGGTGTGGGTGCCTATCAGCCTTCCTAGCCTGTTGGCCCGAGTGCTGGAGGGCACCTTCTGTCATCCCCAGCCAGCGCGGCCACTGGAGGGACGGGAGTTGTGGGCCCACCAACCAGGACAGGGAAGGCTCATGGACTGGCCGGGCCGTTCTGCCATGGATTTTCCCCCGAGGAAGCCCGCCGCTTCGGTGGAGACGTCCCGTGCAGGATCGAGGTTGATGCCGGCCTGCAACTCCCCCGGAGGCGTCCTGGGCTCTCGTGCACTGTCCCCGCCCGCCCACGGTTGCCGCAGCCCTCCTCGGCGGCCGGGGGAGCAGGACACCCCGGGTGCGGAGAGGCGGGCCCCGACACCCTGCCGCCTCGGCCGTGCCACAGAGGAGCCCGAGCCCCGCTGCACGAGCGCCATGGGCCCCTTACCGGAGAGGGAGTAGTCCGTGCTCGTCATCCGCGTGGCCGGGGTGTACGAGACGCGGGGCATGTCGTGACCCTTCTTCTGCGCCCGCCGATACCACACGAACAGCGCCAGCAAAACCATCACAATCAGCAGCAGGACCATGATGCCAACGATGGCGCCCACAGAGTGCCGCTCGGACCCAAGGGCAGGGCTAATTTTAGTGTAGGGATTCAGTTCATCCATCATGAGCGCCGCTGTTGAAGGCAATTCGCAACGCACCGTTAAACCGCGTGGCAGGGCCCGTGGCGAGAACAGCTCTGCGCGCCGGCTCCCCCCACCGCCCCGCGACCCCGGGGGACGGCCACGGGGCGGGAACGGCTCCGGGCCTGCGGGCCCCACCCGGGCATCGCCCCCATGTGCGGGGCGCACACGAGCTTCCCCGTGTAGGACTTCTCCCTCCATTTCAGTGGGGGAGGAGGTGACCCTGCACAGGAGCTGAAGGGGACGGGGGCTCGGACACACCTGCACCTGGGGAAAGGTGCCACACAAGCACTGTGCCAGGCAGGCTCTGGTGGGGGTGCGCACTCCAGGGGAGCAAGCGCCCCGTATCGACAGGGCCGCCGGGGCTCTGCGTCCCCCAAGACGCCAACATCTAGTAAAGCTGCCTCTTTAAACTGCTCAGGCTTCTAGTTCTCCTGAACAAAAAGCAAAGCTGGGAAGGTCCTCCAACCCTCCCCTCTCCCCTGTGTCCACCAGGTACAAACCCTTCCCTGAGTGGGGTGTGTTCCAGTCCCCCCGGGAAGTCACCTCCTTATCGACAAGGCTGAATGCAGAGAATGGAAGAGAAGGAGAAGGAATTCTGCCTCACCTTGATCGCACCTGATGCCTTTGAACCCGGGGCTGCAGTAACAGGTACCTGTAACATAGTCACAGGTGGCATTGTTCATGCATTCGCACAGCTGCTGGCAACCGTAACCAAACGTTCCCGGTGGGCACTCTGCAAATTCAAAGCGAAAAGTGGCTGGAGAGGCCTGTCTGCACACGGATACGGAGTCAGGTCGGAGAGCGAGGCCTTTCGGGAAGCCTCGCACGCCGCTCCTCGGAGAGGACGGGCCGAGGGCACCACGGCAATCCACCAGGGACAAGGCAGGGGACCTCCTGGAGGGGGCCGCACTCCGCTGCGGGGGCCGGACCCGAGCCCCCAGACCAGGAAGCACCAGCCTGCGGCAGCTCATGCCTCCTGACGAGGCGCTTCGGCTTTTGCGAAAGGGGCAGTCTCCGCCAACGCTGGGAAACCACCCGATGTCCGGCTGGCCGAAGGAATCGCCCGCGGCCCGCGGGTTGCGTGTTGCCTACCCCGGGCGTATTACACACGGGCTGCCACCTCCCAAAACGGACAGAGTTCAAAGGCTGCCACATCACCTTCCCCACCTGAGGCCCTCCAGGTCCTTTAGATCACATCGCTGGCACCCATCGTCACCAACTCTGAGCTGTGCTGGTTGGGGCCGATGGGGTTTGTGGTCCAGCCTGCCTGGATGGCACAAGGCCGGTTTAGCACAGCTCTGGTGCCAGCCCTGGATTCCTTTACATTTTTGTCCAGCCTGGGCAGCTTTCCCATTTCCCAGAATGCCCCTGGCCTAGCCTGGCTCTGGGGCAGCGTGGGAAACCCCACAATGCCCAGCTGGCTCTCCTTGGAGCGCCGCCGTCTGCCGCTACGCTCCAGCTCCGGGTTCCTCCCTCAGCCCTCCCAGGTGGCAAGATTCGATTTCCACAGGCAGTGACGAAACCCATTCGCGCGACTGGCACGATGGCAGGTGACGGCACATTGTGGGCGCATCTGGTGCCTCTTTGGGCAACGCCAAACAGCGCACAGCATGGAAGGCTGTGAAGCAGCGACTGTCACTGCTGAGGAGAGAGGAAAGGGGCTCGCGTCCAGGGTGCCCCCTGCCCCCCCCCCCGGCTCTATCAGGAGCCGTTTGTGCAGCGCCCGGTCCCCGAGAAGCAACCTGACCCTCCCCGGGGCAGGGGCAGCGGCAGCGCATGGCGCATGGCGCGGCAACACAGGAGGGGGTGTGCCCTTGGCGTGCCCAGCCCGCGTCCCACACACGGCTGCCTGCTTTCTTCCCAAGGAGAACGGTGTGATCACAAAAACGGCACAGACATGCTGTAAAGACCGTGCCAAGGATGGCTGGGCCTCGCCTTTCGGCCAGACGGCCGTTCCTAGCAGAGGAGGTGAGTGAGGCCTGCTTCCCCAGATGCCGAGAGCGGCTCAGGGGGGTGCACCCCAAGAAGCCCCGGTAGCAGCTCCTCCTCCACCCGCTTGTCCACCTGCCCCACGCTGACGATGCTGGTTGGGAGGAGAAAGACGCAGCGAATGTGGCCAACCCCTTGGGACCGGCCCCCCGGGGGCCGGGTCCCGGCTCTTGGCTTGGCGGGGCATCTTGTGCGAGGCTGCTGCACTCCACTGGCTGGGGGAAGGGGGTGCGGCCATCCACAAGCCCCCCAAAACCAGAGAGGGTGGGGCCCCCACCTGCAGGAAAACCTTCAGCCTGATATCCACCCAGCCTTCCGCAGATCAAACGACGGGGTTCATTTTCAATTACAGGGGGGTGGGCAGAAGGCAGAATGTTGGGCTGGGACCTGGGAGACCCCAGTTGGCGGTGAAACTCGCTGGGTGGCTTGGGGCGAGCCACAGACGCTCAGCTGAGCCCCCTCGCAGGGCTGTCGTGAGGCGAATGAGGAGCGCAGCAGGAGGCTTGGAAGCACCATCTGGGGCCCCTCGCGGCAGCGACAGAGAGGATACGTAGATCAAGCTCTTCCTGGGCAGGAGAGGGGCTGCTCCACAGTCACTTACTCTGCTCGCAGTGCTTTCCAGTGAAACCAGTCCGGCACGTGCACTGCCCGGTGACGTGGTCGCAGTCAGCTCCGTTCTGGCACTGGCAGACGTTGGCACAGCTTTTCCCATAAAAGGCAGCCGGACACCCTGGGAGGCCCAAGCAGACAAGGCGAAACTGTGAGGAACCTGGGAAAGCTGCTGGAGGAATTCTCCAGGCGAGCGCCCTCTCAGCCCCTCTCCGCCCAACTCCCCTCGCAGCATCCTGATGACCAGAGAGGGGGCAGCTCTGTTGGCTGCCAAGCCGCTCCGGGGAAAGGCGGGCGATGCATGTGCAGAAAAGTCGAGGTGCTTGAAAGCTCTCGTAGTTCTGAAGCAGCAGGGCAAGGGCAGGGAGGGAACCAGAAAAAAGGGAACGGCTTTAAAAATGGATGAGTTACAGCTCCCAAATGCGGGGGTGTGACCTTTTGGCTTGTGGTCTTTTGCTCCTCATGGTCTGGGCAGGCCTTCCCAGCTGGGTACGGGCCACCCTGGCTATGGGATGGAGGGAGTTATGATCCAACATATTTACAAGAAACCAAGGCCGGATATATGGGTTGACGTTGTTTTGTTACACGCCGTCTGGTCATCCCTGACCTGTGGCAAGCCTGGGAATGAAAGCCGCCCAGAATGCCCTGCCTTGGCTCAGCTCTTATACACCCTGTGGCTTCCATGATGGAATTGCTCCCTCTTATGGTTGGCCCTCCTCTCCCTCTCCTGCCTTCGGCTTTCCCTGGCATGCTTGTCTTCTCCAGCAAGTCCTGCCTTCTCGTGATGTGCCCAGAGTGCAACAGCACTGAGATGCACCCCTGGGGGTGGCGAGGGGCTTGAGGGTGTGGGGGAAGCCGGGAGCAACGCCGCCAGGAGGCCAGACTGCCCCTGCGCTGGTCTCCTAGGAGGGCCACCCAAGGCAGGATGGTCAAGGCGGAGGGGCCAGCCAAAGAAGCAACCACCCTCACCTCAGCAGAAGAGAGGGGATCTCACTAAGGAAGACGGGGGCGGAGAAACTCTGGAAGGACCAGAGTGACCCTGGTGGAGCCTCTTTTACAGATAATGGCAGTGATGCACAAGCAAACTCTGGTTAGAGCTGTGCAGAAGAAGGGCCCGGCAAAGCACTTCTGGGTATTTCTTGCCTTGCAAACCTATGAGGAATGCTGCTCAGCTCCTAGATGCTGCAGGCCCTCTGGAAAGGCAACCGCTCAACAGATATCTAATTTCTGTTTTTGAAGACTTCCAGGAGCTTTATTTGGCTTTCCTTCGAGAGAGGAAGGTAGTGAGCGTGCAGATCAGGAACTGGGTGCTGGAGAGTTCAATTGCCACATGCACCTCTATGAGGAGAAGCTTGGCACATTGGTTTTGTCAGTGGCCCTTTTCCTAGGAGCGCCTGCCAACGGGACGAGCGGCGCGCTCACAAAAGGCAGCCAGCAGTGCCGGCAATGCGCACAAGGGGGCGGAGCGCGCTTTGGACTGACTCGTTTCCACGGAGCAGCTGGGATATGGAAAGCTCCCCGTCTTACGCTGCGCACAGTGGGGACCGGTCCAGCCGGGGGGGCACCGGCATCCTCCGTCGCGAGCACTGCACGTCGCACCGTTGTGACAGTTGCACGAGTGAAAGCAGTCTGCTCCCCAAAAGCCAACTGGACAAGCTGGAAGGAAGGAAAACACACGCGCGCGCGAGAGAGAGAGAGGTTGAACGCCACAGTACAGATTGGGGCGGGGGGGGGGGAACAGCTGCGAGGGGTCACATTCTCCCTTCTCCAGCTGTGAGCAGGGAACCCTCGAGCCATCCGGGTACGGGAGTTTTGGAGATTACATCACGTGCAGGGGGAATGGCTGCTTAAAAGCACTGGCTTTTTAAGGAAAATATAAAAATTCACCCTCTCCCAAAATTAAGCAGAAATGAACAGGAATTTCCCAATTACTTTCTCAATATAATCACCAATCCATGCAATTGACAGCCTTCCTAATTTTTGTTTTGAGCAGTGACAATATTCCGTCTGTAGAAGAGGCACAATAAAGGCAAAATTACAGCTGTCTGTTTTTATCTGATCCCTACTTTATCACAGAAGGTTTAATATATTTTACTGAGAATGCTGTCTAATACTGTTGGCTGCCTTGTGAATATGAAGTTACATTTCTGAACAGCAGGCTGGGGCTTCCCAGGGACGATCCACCTCCAATTAAGGATTCGTTTGGGAAATGCCAGTTTTTGGATCTGCAAATGCCAATCTTCTACCTAGGCAATTTCGGAGAAGTCACCACACAGCCTTCTAAAAAGCGGTTAGACTTTAACAAGTAAATTATATGTAATAGGAGTCCCTCATCTTCCTAATTCCTCAGCCATATGGACCTCACCACGTAGAATTATTGATTGCTTAATGATTTCTTAAGGAAAGAGTTGAAAAGAGTGAAGAGACCTTCCTTCAACAATAAAGCCCGATCTTTCTACTTTGTGGCTCAAGACAACCTTGGACAGGTCCACACCTAGCTAGAACACTTAAAAAACACCTTTGCGTTTAAGTAGGTTTGGGGGCAGCGTTATTGTTCTCACACTACATGACACCTGCACCCTGCCTTTCTTCCTCTTGCGAGGAACCCAAAGCGCTTCACCAGATTCTCTTCCTCTCCATTTTATCCCCACAAATGCTTTGTTAGGCTGTGAGTCTGTGATTTCCCCAAAGTCTTCCAGGGCGCTTTGCAAAACTGGGCAAGTTTAGGGTCAAGAAGAGAGGCCTGAGAGGAGACAGGGTAGCACCTCCAAGCCCTCGAGAGGCTGTTGCGAAGAGGAAGGCCAGGATCTCTTCTCACCCCTCCCAGCGTGCAGGACACGGAATGATGGCTCCAGTCTCAGGAAGCCGAGTTCCGGCTGGACATCAGGAAGACCTTCTGGCTGTTAGAGCCGTATGACAATGACACCCATGACCCAAGGAGGTTGTGGGCTTTCCCACACTGGAGGCATCCAAGATGCAGCTGGACCACCATGCGAGGAGGATGCCTGAACTTGGAGCCGGGGGCTGGACCTGACGGCCTTCTTGGCCCCTTCCAAGTCTACTATCCCAGGATTCTGAGTGGCAGCTGGAATGGAATCTCCACTTTTAAGCACCGCATCCACCCGGGCTTGACTGCAGGCCTGTTGGCTGCTATTTGTTACTGAGCAAACCATTTTGTTATAGGCCACGGCCCCTCCTTCCCTGGAGCGGTCACTTTACCCAGTTCATAGTTATGAATTGTACGAAGGGCCCCTTTAACTCATCTGCGATTTTTCATCAAGCGAATCGAGTTTCTCAGATTGGTGACAGAACTGCAAGGGCACCAGAGAGAAAGGTTTCCATGGCATTACTGGAACAGGCGTCTTGCGGCTTTCAACGCTCGCAACAGTCTGGAAAGGCAGGATGGTGTTAACAACGCCGTATTTCCTGGAGCTGGAGACACCGCATTTCAGAGCGAGTGCCGGTGTGGCGATGTGGGTGTTGGACCAGAAGGAGGCCCAACTTCTAGGCCCCACCTGGTCAGGACAATCTCTGGGTGACCGTGGGCCGCTCAGCGGATCCCAGTGCAGATTTTATCTTGTGCGGATAAAATGGAGAGGAGGGCAACCTTGTAAAGGTGTTTTGGGTTCCTCACAAAAGCAAAAGGGGGGCAAAATCGTAATAGCATCTTCATCACCTACCAAAGGTTGTGTAAGGCTTACACAAAAAGACTTTTTAGTGCTGTGCAGAGGAATTGATTTTCCTGTTAGGAATGCACGGGATTAAACAAGCGGTTCCATGCATACAATACTTTATATAGTTTTCTGGCGTCCTTCTCCATGGTCGATACTGACCTATAGCGTTTATTCAAAATCAAGTCCTCTTTAACAAAGGTCCCTTCCAACATGAATTAAACATTTCCTGCCCGCGGGTCTGCCCAGAACTGGACTCGGAGGTCAGGGCACCTGTGATCAGCTGAGGCTGACCTGCGTCCCCAGCTGGGTGGGCAGAGCCCGGCCAAAGGGACCCCGTGCTCTGGAAACCCCTCGCCCGGGTGGCTGCAGCAAGCTCTGCTTGGGGCTGCCCTTGAAAATGGCCCAGAAATGCCACCTGGGTCAGGACAGGGTGGTGCGGCTGCTGGCGGGCGAGACCACATCCCTCCGGGCCTCTCTCAGCTACACTGGCTGCCTGTTGAAGTCCCAATTAAGAGTGCTTATTCCCACATTTAAAGCCCTGGATGGCTTGGGGCTGGGGTGTCTGAAGGAATGCCTGGTCCCGTGTCTTCCTGCCTGACCATTAGCGCCATCGGCCGAGGCCCTTCTCAGGGACCACCCACTCAAGGGGGGGGGGCGACCAGGAGAAGGGCCTTTTCAGGGGTGGCACCCTGCCGCTGGACCACATTCCCCAGAGAGGTCTGCCTGGCACCATCCTTGCCATCTTTTCGGTGCCAGGTGAAAAACTTTCTATTTTTCAGTTATTTTAATAGTTAAGTCTGCAAATTTCTATCTGCTGAACCCTTTAAGAATATTGTTCATTGTTTGCTGCTGCGGTCAAAATATTATACACATGGGTTATAGGGAGGTATATAAATGTAATAAGCAAACAGACAGACAAACAAACCCTCCTTTGCATGCCCTCTTAAGTGAGAGACTGTTTCTTGTCACTTCCCTGCCACCCCCTTTTTTTGGTTTTTCACAACACACGCTATATATACGAGAAGGACGCACTTAACCCCCCCCCCCCCCCCGCAAAACCCTGACGTGAAGGGGCAAGTGAGAGAGGTCCTCCCAGGGGCGATAAGCTGGCCACGCAGTCCTTCGTCACCCAGAACCATGTTCAACAGGTCTAAAAGGATGCTTTGTGCTGGGGAAAGCTGGCACCCATTGGGGGGGTTTGGACTCTCCGCGCCAAGCAGACCAAGGGCAGCCGAAACGCCGGTCCGCAGCTGTGGCTGGGGCTTGCCTCGAAGCCAACGCCGCATCCACAACCGACACAGGGGGAGAGGGAAAACGCTTGGGGTCTTTGCACGCAGTGTGCGCTGCAGCACAGAGAGGCTCGCCTTTGCAGGCGGGCACATGTGCTCTGCTGGCAGGAGCAGGCGATGCAACTTACTCTGGGAGCAGTCCGTGCCGATCCACCCGGGGAAGCACTGGCACGAGCCGTCGATGGGGTTGCACGTGCCGTTGTTGGTGCAGGCACACACTTCCGCGCAGTCCTTCCCGTACCGTTCGCTGGGACACACTGTGGAAGGAGAAAGGCGGTGACTCGGGCGATCCGCACGCGGGCGGAACCCGGCCCCGGCGCCTGTCCCGGGGACGCAGAAGGATGCTGCGGAGCACCCTTGGCCCGGGGCCGCATCCAGCCCGTGCAAAAGAGGCCGCGCTCACTGGCCTGGGTGGAGGTGAGCGGGGTGGGGGGGCAGCAGGCTGGCGAAGCAGAGCAGCCAGGTTGGCCTCGTGAGAAAACGTTGCTTCCTGCCTGCAAACAACCGCAAAGGGAAGGAGCAGAGCCGGGCTGGGGCTCGGAGCGCCCCGCCCGGCACTTCCCACGGCTTCTTAGCGGCCGCCCGGCTGATTCCCGGGTCAGCGGGCTTTGGACTACCAATTCCAGCTTGGCCTCCTCTTCTGCTCACGTGCCCAGAGCCCCGCTGGCTTTGTCCTGCACAAGCAGCAATACGGCAGCAGGCAGCCCCAGGGCCTCCCTCGCGTCCACCCTTCTCCTCCTCCATGATGTTTTCTGAGGGGGCAGAAAGGCACTCTTGACAAGAGCAAACGGATTTCAGACAGGTCCATGCTGCCCTTCAAGCCCGTTCCTTCGCAGCTCACCCCTCCTTCTGCATGTTCTCATCCCAGTGGAACCTCCGCTGCGTTTATTCGCAGGTGCCCCAGCTGTGGTGAACACATTTTGCAGAAATGCAGCGACTTAGGACCGCAGCAGCTTTTGGATCAGCTCTCCCGGCCGCAATCCAATCCACCTGGATGCTACTCCGGGCCGGTGTTGTTGGACTGTCCTGAGACTTTTATGTATAGAATGGGGAGCAACAGTTCAAAATAAATAAACAAACAAACAAACCTCCGGGGCCTCCCTCTGAGTGCCATTGTTGAGGGAAGTGCAGAGGGTGGCAACAGGGGGGGGGGGCTTTCTCAACCGTGGCCCCAATCTCTGGAATAACCTCCCCACTGTGGCCTCACTGGCATGGAAGCTGCCATCTTTGGGGCATCGATTTTCTTTTAAAGACTTATTCGGCTACCCAGCGGTTTGAGGGGGTCACCAGGTGTTTACGCCGTCACTCTTTTCTGTTATTATTGCCTGGTTTTATTATTTGTGTTTAGATGTTTTAAACTTTCAATAGTTTTCTGATTTTCTGATACTTTATTGTATTTTTATCATCTGTTTCTATGGACTGCATAAACCGCCCAGAGAGCTTTGGATGTGGGGCAGAACGGAAATGAGATGAATGAATGAATGAATGAATGAATGAAGCGAAGGGGCTCTCGAGTGCAGCTCGCTCGCAGTGTCCCTTTAACCTCTCACAAAGTTATAGAAAATCTTGAACATTAAAGCAGATGGAAAGCCAGTGCTTAGTCACTGCTTTCTGCACCACCATGAACAAGCAGAATGCTTGGGGCTGCAGTTTCCTTTCCTGACAAAACCCGACATCTTACTCAAAATAAACAGATCGCACCTATTCATGCATCCGTCACTGCAGACAAAACCCAGCAGCCCTAACCAGGTGCACATTTCTCTAAACAGCGAGTGCATTTTTTCAACCAGCGATTGAGGGCTTCTCCACGTTGTTTTGCTATTTTAGCATTGTGACAATGCAGTCGGTCAGATGACCTCAATCAACTTCCAAAGCGATTCAATCCTAGATTGAAATCTAGGGCTGGGAATCATCTGCTCTTAGACAAAAAGCCGGTTCCAGTGCCTGCTATGATGGGCTGGCAAGAACAGGCTCGAAGAGAATTGTGTGTAATCTGGAAACACACATCTTTCTCCGAGTAGATAAAGTTGACTGTGAAGTTAAATGCTAAACAGCACAGAAATGAGACGAAAGATGGCAGAAAGCGGGGCTGCGGGAGAAGAGAGGAGAGAAAGGCCAACTGTGAAAGCAACCTGCTCCCGTCACCCTCACGCGGGGCTCCATCGTTCTAACAACCCTGCAATGTTACAGCACATTTCTGTTTGCGGGGAAAGAGACGACTTCATTCGCATGCATCTTCGGTCGGAACGTAATCCCATCCAAAGTACTTTCCAAACAATCTGATCCGGAGAGAGCCACTCTCCTTTTCTCCTTTTTTTAAATGGATGCGGTGGAGCCCTTGATCGCCCTGTGCGGCTACAGAAGGCTAAGAGTGGGAGGGGGGCTATTCCAAGCCAGAACACCGGGCTCTGGGGCGGGGGGATCAAATTCTCGAAGCCCGCTGGACTTGGGTCTCACCTGGCCAGGTGCAGGGGGCTGCCGTGGGTCACCAGGGGCAACCTGGGAACTTAGCAAGAGCCCTTCTGTCTCCGTCACTTGCCCGAAATTGAAAACCCGAGTAATTTTCGAGCCAGAGGACACAGGGGCGGGAGGTGCATTTGGCCTGCATGGACTCACAAAAATGGACAGCTGAATTTCTTTTGGGCTGGCCAGGACCAGCTGCAGCCAGGATCTCCTTGCAAACCTTCCTAAATGTTGTGTTCAACTCGGGCTCTGACTTCAGGAGGTTTAAGGGCCGCATCAATTGGAGATCAGCATTACATTGCACGTACAGCCCACCTTTCTTTCCCTTCCTCTTGCAAGGAGCTCAAGGTGCCTCTGCGTTTCACCCTCACAACAACCCTGCGGGGTAGGTGAGGCTGTGGTGGAGGCAGCAGCTTAAATCGAGGGATGCTTCCCCAGCCCCGCAAGGGACACACGTCTGCCTCGTGGCTCCCTCTTGCTGTGGTGCCAAGCTGGGCCTTGATGGCGGAGAAGACAGTCCAGTCCAGGCGCGTGTGGGCGGGTGGCGGGATCCATCTGGACCGGCCTGAGATGGGCTCGGCCTGCCCTGCAGGGGCAGCGTGCCAGGTCCTGAACGCAGTGTGTGGCAATGCCGACGGCCTGGGTGGTTAGGAAGGTCTTAGGCCGCATCCCCATCTGGAGGGACCGGGCCCACCTCCGGGAAGCAAGGCAGGCGCTCCCCACGCCTCGCAGGCCTCAATCGTAGCGGGTCGGGACTGGGGAAGGCGGGCGGGATTGGGCCTCCTCTGACCGGGGCGACTGCCCCATTCGGCGTGCTGCAGCCCGGGTCCCAGGAGAACTGCTTCCTCCTGCAAATGTCCGTCAAGGACTGCGCCCAAAGAAGAGGCCGGTGATCAGACGGCAGCAGGCGAATCATTTGGCCGAAGAGGAACTCCTTTAGGGCAAACCCACACAGCCGGTGAGGCGTCTGGGATCGCGTTAAGCCTCTGTTCCAGTTCAGGATCACGCAGCGCAGATGCGTTCGGCCTAAAACTGACCTTGGACATCCCCTTTGCTTTGTCGATTTCAGCCATGTTGGTGGACTGTGGGGGTTCCTTTTCAGGATTGGTTAAAGGATTTTAATTAATCTCACTTATTCATCCTTGACATGCTGACGCCATTGTTTAATTTTTCCTATTGCTGCCACTTGTCGTATCCCATGGGCTGTCCTGGGATTCGTTTTTAAAGCAATAAATAAATGAGCTAAGATATGGCCTGGTGCACTAAAAATGTCCAATCGCTTCTGATCCGTGAGCATCACCTCTCTAGAGCAAGAACCCCAACTTCCATCCCCTATCTAATTATTTGCGATTGTTTATACCTTACTTCCTCATGCTGCCAAGACTAGTCCTCTTCTTCCTCTTTGAGGAAAAGCAGGTGGCTGTGTGGTGCAGTGGTTAGAAAGCTGGTCTGGGACTCCGGAGACCCGGGTTCTAGTCCCAAGCCAGCCAGGAAGGTCCCAAGCCGGTGCAGCCTTACTTGCAGGATTGTTGTGAGGATAAATGGGCGAAGACAGTGGTAGCACTGGTTAGAGCTGTGGGTAACGAGCGAGCCAGCCAGCCAACTTGGCGCAGGAACTGCCCAACCAAACGAGGCAGCAATGCATGCCTTGACACCCAAGCTGCGAAGGTATGCAGAAGGTATAACTAGATGGCGGCAAAAAGGCGGGAGAGACAGGACAGCCCGCAAAAACGCTCCTGCCCCGGGGCCGCCTTCCGGCCGCTCGGCTCCCGCAGCTCGTTCGGTGTGAAAGAACAATCGCGGATCAAAGCAGCATTTGTGCATCAAGTTCGTCTAAGGTCCAACGTTAGACTGCATCCTTCTCTTCCTACCTCTTTTCTTTTTTCATTAAAAAAAGAAAAATATATTTCATATGCTTGCACATTATGACAAATTGCAGAACCGACTGCCTTTAATTAGAACATGAATATTTTATGGCAATTCTGCTGGGCGGATCAACATTTCAAAGGGAAAGCAGGGACACTCAACAGATTGAAATCAAGAAAACAGAATTTTGCTTAATGAGATAATTAGGTCTGCGCAAGACTCTGAAAACAGCTAGGGTTTCACACTGAAGCAGACACGTTCACTGAGAAAGGAAAGAGAAGTGCTGGGTCTCATATTAATTGGTATATATTTTGGTGGAGTAAGAAAAGAAAACATCTGCTTCGATTTAATCTATGTTTAATGATTTTGTGGAAGCCTTGCCCTGAGTTTGCGACTTGCAGAAAAGCATTCGAAATGGTTGAATTAATTCTTCTCTTCCTGCAGCACTGTGACCTAGAGGTTAGAGTACTGGACTTGGGCTGGCGAGACCCATGTTCTAATCCCCACTCAGCCATGAAGCACCTGGTGGGCTTTGGGCCAGTCACTGAGTCTCAACCTGACCTACCTCATAGGGTTGTTGGGTGGATAAAATAGTGAGACGGATTATCTAAACCACTCTGAGTTCCTTGTAGCAAAAAACTGTAACACACACACACATTTAAGTTTGAGGACCTAACAGGGCTATTAAGCATAGAGCTGGTTTAGGTGTAGTGAACCCAATCCATAGTTTACTGTGGTTAGAACAAACCTAGCTTCCCCTGGACTTACATGTCCCTCATCTCATCTTGTGGTTAGGGAATAAAAGTTTGGGAACTTTTGCTGCTGCTTTCATTAATTAAAATACAGCATGCCATTTCAGCTGAACATAGGCAAACCATAACTGATTTTAACTACGGTTAGCAGAAACAAGGAAACTGCAAACCATAGTTTATGAAGCAGACCTGTTTTCACTAACCAATGAAAACTAAGCTTTGCTAAACTGTGGATAATTAAAAATGGAGATGTCTGCTCTCCTCACAGTCATTCTGGAGAGGGAAAGGCGGGGAGGCGTGTAGCTGAGGTTAGGCACCTTCTCATAATGGCTGTATCATTCCAGTATCCAAACACAGCTTTCATCTCCTGATATCTGCACAGAAATGCTTACGAGGAGGCCGTAAGTTCTAATCGCAACATGCTCAACAGCAACTTTGTTGGGATGTGGGGTGTAGCCCAGCCGGGCTTAGGGGGACAATGTGGACCCCAACCCATGGAAACTACCAGTGGGCTGGCAGCATCCCTGGGACTTCAAACAGGCATCTTTCCTGGCCCTTGCCTACCTGGAGATGGCAAGGTGTGAACCCGTGCCCACTTTCTGCGTGCAAAACTGTGGACTGTATTACTTCTCGCTGGAAGCCACCTTGGGAAGATAGCGGCACTTGAATGATGGCTCAGAAATCGGTTAAACAGAAATCCATCTACAGATGCATATCACATCTGCACCACAGCTGTCCCTGCCAAATAAGGCCTAAGAAACTGTCTTATGCTCGTCGAACCCAGTTTTGCCTCTTCCAAGCGCAAGGACTTCTCGGAGTCTTTCTGAGTGCTGCCGCCCCAGTTCCTCGCACGCTTATTTACATCACTTGCCCACAGTCTGCTCATGATCTCAAGCACGTTGATTTCAAAACCTTAATTTTGGAAGGTTCCCGCATGTCAATTTGTCCTAGGTTCACATGTGCTTCATGCCCCTGACGACTCTCAACTCACGAGCATCATCGTGTGTTAAGATGTACTGGGACTGAAAGCGAAGAAACGCAAGCCTCGAATTTGTAACATCTGCCCCATTCCGTTCGCTGTAAGTTACAAGCCATGCCTGACCTACGCAGGTCAGCAAACATCTTTTTTACGATGGAAGCCCCAGATTTTATCTGCATTTGTGCATCAAAGCGGTCGCTCCTCTCCACCCCCACACCTGAACCGAACCACAGAAAAATTGAACTGCTTTTTAAGCTCACAACTGGCCTATGAACATTTCGGCAGGCTTCAGCCAGATGCTCGCTTGGCCCGAGATGTGGAAACCATCGGGCGCAATCGTACCTTGGTCGCAGAGCAGGCCGAAGAACCCAGCCAGACAATTGCAGTGTCCCGTGATGTGGTGGCAAGGCACGGAGCTGTGGGTGCATTTTGGGCATGGCTGGCTGCACTGGTGCCCGTAGAAGCCGGGCGGACAAACTGAAATGACAGTTAGAACAACGGCTGGTAAATGGGAAGAAAGATGCTAGCCCTCATTGTTACCACTGCCATTCATAACCACGCATCCACTATGGGATTAAAGCAGTGTATGGACTTTGACTGGCTTTACCTTGGGAACTGGATCAAAAGTAGGGATCAGAGACAGATTTGCCCAAGCGCAACTTATATATTTGTGCTGTTGTATTTTAGGAGTAAAATTAAAATTTAATAAAAATATTTCTTAAAAAACCACCTATTGCATTCATGCATGAAGCAGGGTTTTGAGCTCCCGTCTCCAAGGCCGATTGGCTCTAAAAGCGCACTGGCAATAACTCCAGAAAGAACAGCCTATCACAGGCCAAGCCTAACCCAAACCCTAAACTTCCAGGTTGGCAGTTGCCATCTTTTCTTCTGGCGAGGCTCTGGCACAAGTAAGAGCAGAGTGAGGAGGAGAACCTCACCAGGGGAAGCTTTTTCAGCCTCTGCATCGGCACAGTGGAAAAGGTACCACGTGCTGGACTTTTGCTTGGCCATGGCACGCCCCAGACGTCTGGCATTGGGTCACTTTCCCCCCACACTCTAAGCCTGAGCTCAGATGACAAGCAGGAAGCCCCCGCCTCCGATGCCCTGATGCGGCACGGCGAACCCCCCTCCTCCCACAGCAGGCAAGTTCCACCCCCTTTGAGACACAGGGTACGGCCAGAAAGAAAACTGTGGTCGGCCGTTTTGAGCAAGAAGGTGGAAGGTAAATGTCCACCTCGGGGAGGGACCTGTGGACAAGGGACACAGCCGGAGCACTGCACCCCCCGGTGTGATGAGGCTGCCGGGGTGGAGCAAAGCAACTGCGCCCCCTTCCGAGCATCGCTGCCGCAGTTCACCTTGGGCGGCACCAGGTGATGACCTGCATAATGTGAAGGTGCCTCGGATGCCCCTCCTGGCCTGCAGACCAACGACCGACAGAACAAAACTGTTGTTTCTCTCCTCTCTCTGGAAAAGGTTCCGTTTCCTCAACTCTCCACTTACACCCCTGGGATTTTAAGTTTGCAGAATGCTTTCTCCCTCGGCTCCCTGACTCTCGAGGGCCTTGTCTGGGGGCTTAGAAAGCACTTCACACCCGCAGAGAAACACGGCGAAGGGCTTGTAATGGAAAAGAAGGGCTTGTAATGGAAATGCTCAAAGGCCGTCCGCAGCAGCCGTGTAGGCGATGCTCCAGCGGCTTTCTGTAAGAGACGGGGGCTTTCAGATGAAGAGCAGGGGCGAGTGTCACCCACACAAAACGAGGGGAGGACTGGAAGCGAAGGGGGGCTCTGCGCTCCGTGGCAAAACCTTTTTGCAAAGTTTGAAAGTAGCGCATCGGGGAGCCAGGCGGCGCTAACTTAGCAGCCCCATGGAATTCCGCCCCACTGGAATCCTGGGGGAGGGAATGTGGGGCCACACCACCTGTGTGGGGAGAGGGCTGTCCCTAGGCAGACTTTCATTTTATTTTTATTTAGTTAGCACTTTTCTATACCGTCATAGTGAGGTCCCCAAATTACAGGGGGAGCCTATTTGAGAATTTTGGGCTATCTTTTACTGACGCAACCTGCCCCCCCCCCCCCCAAGGCATGGCTGGGGTGGGGCAGGGCAAGCAGGGGCACAGTGGGGGAGGCCGGGAGACAATTGTGTCCCCCCTCCACCAACGCATGGACCGGATAGCGAGGCTGGTTGAGGGCCATCGGGCCAAGCCGAGACCACAGGTGCCGCGAAGGACAGCTGCGTCCGGGACAAGGGATGGGGCCGTCCGAGGACACGGTCCCCTAGAGAGGCAGTCCTCCCCCCAGGGCCGCCGGGATGGCTTCGCCCCTCCTCTTCCAAGCCGTGAAGCGTGTCGAAAGGGGAGGCAGAAAAGCGGGTTTCCCTCGAGGTCTCTGCTTTGCTCGGAGTGGGAATCTGCTTGCCCCTCGGCCGGGACGCTTAAAACGGCTCATCGCCGTCGGGAGCCTCAGCAACAAGCTTTCCCAGGAAACCCAGAGCAGGTGTGGCAGAGTGGGGAAGAGCTGGGACCGGGACTCGGGAGAGCTGGGGTCAAGTCCCAGCTTGGCCATGGGGCCCACCGGGTGACTCTGGGCCAGTCGCAGATGCTCAGCCCAGCCTACCTCGCAGGTCTGTCGCTGTGGGGGTAAGACTGAGAACAGGAGGAGGAGCAGGAGCTAAGCCGCTTTGAGTTCATTGTAAGAAAAAAGTGGGATATACATCTAATAAATGAATACAGACAGACGCACAGAGGGCCTTACTTCTCTGGCACATGGGCCCTCGAAAGCCTGGCGCACACTCACAGGTCCCGTCCTCCGGGGAGCAAGAGCCCCCGTTCTCGCAGTTGCACGTGATGGAGCAGTTCGGTCCCCAGCGGCCCTGCGCACAGATGCTATCGCAGTGGATTCCTGGAAAGAAGCAGGCGCACGGATCAGCCCGGCAGAGAGCTCGGCTACGGCCACTCAGTGGGACTGGCGACCGGAGCTGCGAGGCCCCCTCCCCGCTCTCCCCGTCCCCCACCCCGTTGTTTTCCTCATCCAGCCAGCCTGGAGATTAGTGCACCCTTCCTGCAGGTTGACCCTCTGTCTCTTTGCCATTCTGCATCTGAGTTAGCATGTTTCAGCAGAGTCCAGGTTTGGTCCTGGCCCACTTCGGGGGAATCCGCACCTCCCTCCTAAATGTGTCCAGATCAGTTTGTTTCAGGTTCTCGGTTTCAGTGGAATTCAGAGCACAGCTGTAACTTTCACCTCTGCACAAACTCAAAAGTTGTGCCTTGGTAAAACACTCTTTTCCTTGTTGCACCAACTCCTTGCTGTTCTTTCTTGTGTATTAACCATGTAAATTTAGGAAGCAAGCTTCTGCACAGATTTGAAAAGTCTCTGCCCAGAGCCTACAATGAACCCCTGAAACCTATTCTATGAAATTTGGCAGGACGACCTTCTCAGCAGGGGTGACCGCGCTCTGCATATTTCATTCGCTTCGTTATTGGCAATTTTGCAAAGACCGAATGGCACTGGGTGCAAGCCCCACCTTACAGCCCTTAATCAGAACGCGACCACTTTTCTCTCCTTGCGAGAAGCCACTCTCCCTACATGCTTCACCTACTTCCATCAAACCACAAGATGAATTTACACTCATTTCTCAGTTTCCACTAATGAGAGAATTGGATCCAGCCCTTGAGAAAAACTGGGTCACTCCCAGATCACTCTCAGGTGAATAGTGTCGCTTCCGTTTTCATGATCCCTGCTGGATGTCAAAGTTTTATTGTGGTTTTGTTTTTTTTTGTTTTTGTTTTGCAGGGTGGGGGGGGATTGCAGCAGCTTATTCTTTCTGTGATTTTACAGCTATCGTCGTCATAAATTGATTGCATTTATCTAAAAGTTGTACAGCCTGCAAGAGTCTCGTTAATCAGGGGCAGTTTATACCAGATTAAATAGATATTCTGAGACAACCCTTTTAAGGAGTACTTAGCATAATGGTTGCTCCCACCCTGGATTCCATCTCTGTATTCCCATAAATGTGTAGGCAGTGATGCAGAAATGCAAATTTTGCCACCTGATGGCTCTTGGGACAATACTGTGGCATTTATTAGGACGCACAAATCTACCAGAGTGCACAGTTTGTGTATGTTTGTATGGCATGTGTGCTAATGTTTTGCTCATGTATTAAGCGATGTGTCCGCTGGTATTCTTTTAATTAGTGGCATTTAAATAAGGGCATCTGCCCTTTCTCTTGTCAACAAGTGCATAAAAATAATCCAGAAAGCTGGTCTTCAGATGCACACTAGTCTGCAGAGCTGTTACTAATTTGTGTGGGCTTGCAAGGGAAAGATTTTAATTATTTTACAGAAATTAATAGTTCTCCTGGGAATAATGAAAGCTGGCGAGATTTGACATGGGACAGGGAATGAAGAAGAGGCGATTCTAACAGGGGTGCTTCTACCACAGTTATGGTATGATGAACTACTTCAGTTTTAGGTTAAATTCAAAGGTTAAATTCAGATGTCACATCTGATGTCTTTCACATTCTTGCATCCAAGCTGAGATATATGTGGGAGGGTGCCTTGCAGTCGCTCAGTGGCGAGATAGGGGCATTCCGTGTGTGTGAAAAAGGCATTCACTCCTGCCGCGGTGAGCCTACCTGCTCTTGCTTTCACCCGCCTTCCCTCCCTCTTAACTTTTCCGTGCCGTTCTGCCGTTCAAGGTTTCTCAGGCATTTGAACTCATTCAGCTGCTTGAAGGCTGTGGAGGCGGAGGCTTTCCTTGCAGCTGCAATGAGTCGTGGGTTTCGTACCAGGGCTGCCCTGTTAGCACTTGGCGATCCGTGGCCGGGACTTGCATGAAGCTGGCATACAGGTGCCGCTCATTTGCTGACGCTTCTGCTTGCGAATGTCCTTGGATAAGTGGATCGGCAAGGAGGAAGCGGCATTTTTTAGCACAAAGGGGAGTAAAGGGCACTGTGAACACCCTCGCGTTTTCTTGGTGAATGTGCAGAGGCGCCTGGACGTGAGTACGGTGGGTCTGAAAAAAGCCTGCTTGAACTCTGGGACACCGTTCTGCTGCTTGAGCAAACAGCAATGCCTCTGCCCTGAATGACCTCTTGTGCAAAACTCTGACAGGAACCGGAGCGTACGCCACATAGCCGGAGAAAACACACGGGGGAGAAAAGGACCACCCCCGCCAGCCTTCCACAGAGCCCTCTCGGAGCCTGGCAAGCCTCTGGCTTTGGGGGTCTTCCTCGGACTGCGAAGACCAGAGGCTTGTGAAGGCCACGGCAGGCCGCGGTTCATGGCCACGTGTGTGCCACAGGTCGGGCTGGCGCGACTTAACACGGCAGCATCCTCCGGAGATCGCAGGCCTGCTTCCTTCACGCATCTTGCAGTCTGACACAGAGTTCATTTGAGCCGGCAATCCCGGTGGAATCCGGAAGTTCTTTATCCGCCAGGCACACGCTTCTTGCAGATGAAAGGATAACTGCACGCAACGACCTGAACGCAGCCGGAGGTTGGATTAAACGCACCATCAGGGATGCAACGCCCTGCCTTCCAATGGCTTCATTAGGATGCCACAAACAACACGCCACGTTGGTGGAACTTCCACCCAGCCAGCTGCCCCTGCTCGGAGGATTATTAAATCAACAGAACAACCATCGCAAGCACAGCTCCAGCACAGCTTTCAAAAATATCTGTGGAGAACACACTGCAGGAAAGCTGGAGAACCTGTCCCTCCAGGCATCCCTTTTCAAGCAGAGTGGCAAATTTCATTTGGGCTAGTGCAAATGTCCAGGTTATCTTGCCATGAGAGTGGAAAGTGCACGGAAAGTAAACAGAAATACAGCCTTTACGTGGCATTAAATCAGGGACTGGCTGCATTACTGAAATACTGTTGCACATGCTAAGAAAAAGGCTGGGATTGCTAGAAAGGTGAACAGGAAATTGCGGATCGACCTGAACTCTGTGTGTTGTTGTAACATACCAAGCAACGAACAATTGAACATGCTTAGTAAGAAATAATTAACAGTCTGAAAATGGAAGTCAGTAGAAAAGTAGTAATTATATTAAAGGGAAGACACAAGAGGATTCAAAATAGATTCAGGGCACCTTATGAGAACTAATTGACTGCTTAGCCTGAGAGCTGGAAGGACTCACCGCTGGAGTTACCCAGGGAATGAAATGCTGGACGAGGGGCCAGGAGGGGAGCAAGGTTTTCACTCACCAGCGGAAGGGCAAACCTCTCACAGGAGGTCTGAGCACCGTGGGATTTGATATAGAGATGTCGAGAAGAATTCACGGACTTAAGGAGCGAATTTGGCACAGGCAGTTGCTTTCTCACATATTCAATTCAAAACAAATTGTATCTTGCTTGTAAAGAACAAGTTCAAGCTTTCATTGATAGGCACTCTAGTTGTCGTTTTTAAATGCACCCGGTAAGAATGAGGTGATTAAAAGGGTGAGTCCTGAGTCACGTGACAGCGAAGATCGTATCAGTTATGAAGCAATCTGCACAATCAAAACGGGTTTTGATTTTGGAATAATGTGATTTATCATCCAGAGCAGCCTTCCCCAACCTGGTGGCCCTCAGAGACATTTGGACCGCACCTCCCAAAGTGCCCCTCCAGCAGGGCCATTGACTGGGGATGCTGGGTGTTGCAGTCCAAATGTGTCCGGAGGGTTGGGGTCCAAACGCAATCCAAATGTGCAGTCCAAATGTGCCTGAAGGTCGGGGAAGGCTGGCCTAGCACATGCATGCTCAACTACAGGGCCACAGGGGCCCAAGCCAGCCTTCCCTTCCCTTCCCTTCCCTTCCCTTCCCTTCCCTTCCCTTCCCTTCCCTTCCCTTCCCTTCCCTTCCCTTCCCAGTTGGCCACCTCCCTTCCTCAATTCCTCTCCTCCAATCGCAAGCCAAGGCGGAACCGCCTCTCCGGAGGCTTGATTGCTGGCACCACTACCTTTCCGCTAAAACATGCAGCAAGTATTTTTTATCCCTGTCCCTTCGTCCTGCACACCTGCAACAGGTGCCCCACCCCTGGCTGCATTCACCGGAGGTTGGCTGCTTCTAAATGAGCCTTCCCTCCTCTGTGGCTAACAAGTAAGTGCTGAGAACGCCTCCCGTGCAGCTCACCCCCTCCTAAAGCGGGCTGCACTCTTTTAGGCCCATCATCCCAGGGCACGGGACAGGGTGCCAGGCGGTGACCACGCTGTGGCAGGGAAAGTGTGACGGGGGCCACCAGGCCCGCTGCTGCAGGCATGGCTCCAACGCTTGACCGAATGATGAATGTCTCCCAGTCATTTTGAATACCGTTAGCCCGGGCTCTGGGAATTAAACTCGGAACAGAGATTAAAATAATGGCTGTCGTGTCCCTTCCCTATTTTTGACAGCAATATTTGGAGTAGAATTCCTTTACTGTAAGATGGGCTATTTATAAATGGAGACAATTAAGGAACATCATTTCTTGTCTTGGTGCTTCGAATGAATGACACCAACGCCTTTCTTTTAAAAAGGTAGCGGCATTAAAATGCGCCTCTCTTTTTCCCAGCGGAAAAGTCACTTCCAGCTGAAGACTAATGAGGACGCTGTCTTAACACAGCAGAACAGCGTTTGGTGGGGAGCCCTTAACTGCACCACCAAGACCAAATCTTTGAACTATATTTATAGTCAGAAGATTAGCAGAGATGTGGATATAATGAATGTCCCTTTCAGAAGCTTTAAGACACTTAATAAAATTTAAGACATCCAACACTGAATTTTCCTTTATCTACGCCACAAGGTTTGTGTGTATTTGTGCGTGCAAGTTGTGGGAATAAAATCATTCTACAGCATGCTTGAGTGCTCCGAATTGTGCCTGGGCCAGGAAAAGCTCTACACACCGGAGGAGCCGATGAATGTGAAGCGAGACAGGGAGCTGGAAC